CATTTTCCCACTGTCTTTTTGTTTCTAGCCATGGGTTAATGAAAACTTTTGGCTTCACATTTCATGATGGGGCATGGGGCAGCAGCTAAGTAAGCCCTCAAAAGAAACTGAGTTGCATCCCCTAATTATTGTTTTCATTTAGGTTTTATGTCATTTTAAATTTCTTCATTTAATTACTGAATGTAAACTTTATCATAATGTTTTTGAAACTGTTAAAAGCTACACAAAAAAAATTGAAATTTAAAAACATAAGATATAAACCTAGGGGACTTATCAAACTTATAAAGCATGTCAACCAATGGGAATGAATTCAACTTTTTTTTAATCGAAATGATAAGTTTGAAAAATGAAACTTGCTTAAAAAATCATCCACATTAAATATTTTTTTGTATTCATTTAGATAATAAACGCTTTAAGAATATTGCACTATGGCGATCAAGTCGATTTTTACTTACATACCCTTTTTGACAACGGTCGATTCTCTGTCATATACATACAGACACAGAATCCGTTTGAGACAGGACTAACCCGGAAAAAAATACATTTTGTGTTCACGGACTACTGCACACGCCTTTACAAAAACGAACCGACACACAAGGATAAACAAGACGAATATCTAAGCAACATCAAACCACTAGACGAATACGACAAAAACATAATAGATACATCCTTTAACTTAGACGACATCAAGAAACCTATCCAAAAACTAAACGACAATAAATATCCTGGACCTGACGGCCTGACAAGCGAATTTTATAAGATTTTCATCGCAGACCTAAGCCCCTTCTTATTAGACACTTTTACTGAAATGTATATATTAGAGCATTGCCATGAAAACTTTAATACATCATATATAACACTTATTCACAAACCAGAAACAGACCCTAAACTTACCAAAAACGATAGGCCCATATCCCTTCTAAATACAGATTACAAAATATTAACCAAAGCACTTGTAACCAAAATAGAACCACACCTACCAAAACTAATACATACAGACCAACAATGCAGTGTCACAGGCAGAAACATACAGAACCATAATCACCTAATTAGGGACATTATACAATATACACACGAGAAAAAAAGATGTATATTAAGTTTAAATCAGGAAAAAGCTTTCAATCGAGTTTCCCAAAAATAACTACACAAAGTGCTTAAGGCAAACAACTTAGATCATTTTTTTACTACTTGGATAAAATAATCTACAAAGATCCCAAAAGCCACCTTCTTACAAACAGTAATATTATCAAACCTTTTAGAATATGCGAATCGGTTAGACAAGGGTGTCCCCCTATCATCCATACTATACATCTTAATCCTAGAACCCTTACTAGAAAGGATTAGAAGAAACGCGGACATTAAAGGAATAGACATATCGAACTCGACTAACAAAAAGATAATAGCATATGCAGATGACAAAGCCCTTATTTTACAGACAGAAAATTCTATAAAATTAGTGAAATTCCTAGATTACGGACAGGAGAGCGGAACTAAAATAAACCTAAACATGGAAATAGCATACAAACGTATCTACAACGCAACACCTCTGAGACACAAACTTAAAATTAACACACAAACATAAATCTCTTTGCTATTTGTGCAAACAAGACCCATCGTAAACAGAAAAACACATCTATCTTGACTGCTCAACCATTCATTCCATAAAGAAAACCGTAGAAACTATACTAACGAATAAAAACGAGAATTCCAACATTGACATAGCTATAACATTAAACAAAATACCAAGTCAGAGAGACTGTGTTGGAACGCAAAATAAGGACAGTAGCTATATATAGACAAACTATCTGGTGCTACAGAAATAGGGCAAAATATAATGTGCAAGACTTTACCAAACAGACTTTGGACCTGATATTTAGCCTCGACAGGTAACACAACACCGTAGTAGCTAGGTCACGCAACATCGCTCCTGTTACGTGGTCTGCCGCACCCAACCAATCCCCACCCCCTTCCAATCCATGCCCCATGACCTCACCCTACCCACCACTAACGGCGATGTTTGTTTTTTAGCCACATACACTATTGTTAAAAATCTATAAATCTATATTATAAGTGTTTAGAATACACACTGTGTGAACCTTAAATTTTCTTAACAACCTCAGATGTTCTAGATCATAAGCTTTTGCAAATACTATCAATGTAATATAGCTAATTTTTAAATAATTTTTATTACTCCAACTCAACAATGATTTTACACATTTGAGACGTAATGACATAAAACAAATACCTGCTCTCAATACTACTAGAATATTACTACCATTTGAAAGCCTTGTGATGAAATACTATTTTATATTCTGATGATCAGGTATTACCAAAATGAACAAAGACAATGTTAATCACACGATTGATAAACGTACATACAAATACCCCGTATAAGTCCATCATCTCTAGACTTCCTATATAAATCCAGACAAAAACACGCACTCTCACATTCTTACAACTAACCCACCCCAGATCAAATGACACAAAATGGAAGGCTCTTGTCTAATCAACAGCAACGCCCCCCCCCCCATTACAGTAGCTACTCACAACAAAGACAAAACACAACCATTAAGACACGCACCACTGCCCACGACCGGTCCACAGTGACTTTCCCTTCGCCCCCCCCCCCCCACCCCCACTTCCTCCCACTAACTCAGCCTAACCCAACATTCATGATCATAAGACTTCTGTCGCACCTGATTGAATTCGTCCCTATGACTCTTCCTCAGAGTTTCTTCCAGCCATCTGTTCGGGGAGGCTCTGCCCACCCCCCGAAAAATGTCTCTCGCCTCCCCCCCCCCCCCCCCCCCCGAAAATTTAAAGTGCACCCCCCCCCCACGGAGAAAAAAGTCTGGAAGAAACACTGTTCATCCCTTTTTTTCAACTTGTTCTTCTTTTATTCGTTTCCATTATGTTCCATTTTTAATTTTGGGAGTTCCCTGTTTTGTGTAGCATTCTGTAAATGATTAGATGGCATGTGTATTTTTTTTTATATCTTTAAACACTCTATATATAATAATATGTTACTACAGACATGCATTCACACACATGTTGATGTTGTATGTTTTATTCGAAAATAAAAGTATTACAACAAAAAGTATCAGTTTGAGCTTTATATTGTATATCTATGTGGTTTCGTTGAATTTCCAAGTCACACAATAGGCTTTAAAAGTCTATGTAATCATGTAAACATTTTTGAAAAGTCTATGTAATCATGTAAAATTTAAAAACAATATTTTTTTAAATATGGTCAGCGACACAATTACAGATACATTGTTTAAAATTAAAGTCCCTTGGGAACTATTGATTACACTTATTTTCATATTTTTGTATTGAATATAAGCCGTTGAAAATTATTATAGAATTATTATATCAATTCAATTATTTTTTAAAAAAACGACCTCATTCACTCCTTGCTCGCTAACCTCATCTTCCCGGGATCCGAACAAAAGACTTTTGAAGTTAGCATTCTTAAACTCTCATAATATATAAAGGACCAAACTCTCAACAAACCAATCTTACCCTCTAAGACACCAGCCTCTCTCGACTGACCAGCCTCTCTCAACACACCATTCTTACCATACAAGACACCAGCCTTTCTCAACATATCCGTCGTAAAATACAATAGACCAGCCTCATATAACAGACCAGCCTCCCCCAAAAAGACCTGTGTTACCATACAAGAGACCAGCCGCTCTCAAAAAACCAGTCAGACCTATCAAGAATGCGACAGATATTTGTGCACTGCAGTACAACCTTGATGCTACTATCTACTTCAAAGTCAATTAGCAAATAGCTGGCAATTGCTAAGCTAGGGTCGTAAGATTATGATCTTTTCTGTAGCCCCTGACAAGTTGTACAACAGCATAAAAAAAATAAAAGTTGTCATATATGAGCACCTACAAGCTAGTCATAAATACACATTTTTATGATGATTTGCCTAATTTTAAAAACATGTGTCATTTTAATGTTTCTTGATGTGACGTTTTATTTAAAGAATTAATTTAAAAATTAACATATTTTTTGTTGCGTTTTGTAAAATAAGTAAACCTTAAGTCATTATTAATGTGAATATTGTGTTATGTCTCATTCATAATATATCTGACAATAAGGTTTATATTTTTACTATTATCATTCTACAAACCCAGCACCCACCAGATTTAGTTAAATAAACTGTGAGAATAGAAAGATGCAATAAATAATAACCTTCAACAGTTAACAAGTCTAGTTCTAAAGACAGCCATAATGAATAAACAGTCGAAAGCAACACAGCCATACTAAAACATCTCTACTAAAATTAAACTGACCCCATAAAGTAGAATAATCTCAAATAATTAAAATATGAGCCCAAAAATATACTCTAAATATTATGAAGTGTTAATTATAAGTTAAAAACACACACATAACTAAACAAAGTTCTTTTGACAAAACGAACGAACGCGGCTGAGACCGAAATTCTCGTTTCTAAACGGCCAAGTCTACGCACGCACAGATAGACGATTTGGTAGCGAGGGTTTTAGACCGACAAAACCGACTATCTTTTAAAACCTGCAATAATGTAAATATTAGCCAAACTCATTTTAAAACGCTAGAGTATAAGGTAGAGAGTTACTTCGCACATTAAAAACAAATTTGTAATAGAGCGATCAACAAGGAAATAATCAATTTCTTTTTGTCTCCGCTGTAAATTTACATTATATATATATATATATATAAATATATATATATATATATATATATATATATATATATATATATATATATATATATATATATATATATATATATATATATATATATATATATGGTTCGATCATCAAATCATTACATGTTTAATGTTAATGTAAACATAGATGGTGCAAGATATTCCTTCAAAATATCTTCAAAGCATTTCTTCACACAATTTTCCATGACTTGTAGAACAGCCAATGTCAAGATTTCTCAGATTCTAATAAAATAATCAGCCCATCTTACTCCCATATTACACACATACGCTCTATCTACAACCTGAGATAACATCCGAACGGCCAGAAAGTCAAGAGAGGTCGAGGACTCTCCAACTGTTCGTATTTTACAGGGTCTAAACATATTGGGATCTCTGACCATTTTCTCTCAGCGAGCCTCGCTATAGGAGTTTTAAACATGAGAGCGTCCTGTAGAACTAGGGGTAGTTCTAAACTTTTGATCCGCCGCGCTCTGTTGGCGCCGAACCCCATGTGGGTGGACACGGTGATGAAGGCGAGTTTCACCAGTGGCCACGGTTTGCAAGCTGCAAGTTTCACGTCTTCGTTATCTGAACCAGGTGATCTGTGATAATCTCGCATTTCTTGGAGATCTGTTTTGGTTAGGTAGCAGTTTGAAATCAGGTATTTTATTATGTCTTCTTTGTCACACTTCAAAGCCATGGAGAAAAGAGTGTGGTACTTTTGGTGTTTGTGCATATAGCCGTTACTCACACATAACCGAATGCTTTCAACTGGGTTGATATCAGAGATATTCTCAGCTAAGAGACCAGACTTTTGCAATAATTTCTCAAACACCGGCTGATCCACTTTCAAGACAGGGTTGATTTTCAAATTTAACAAAATTTCAGCGTTGAATTTTTTCGCGTTCGTATTTGTGAGAAACAGTCCATATGATGTCGATCTCTTGTTTGTAAAGGCATAATACAAAGCCGTCCTGTGCTTGTTGTCCTCTATGTTGATGTTGATATTCTCCGCGGTGTGTAACTGCGAATGGGTGTGAAATATTTCGTATTTGGCTGTGTACATTAAAGCCGTTTTACCTTTCTTGTCTTGCAAGTTCACGTTAGCGCCAGCCGCCAACAAGAGCTCTTCAATCCTAGAAAAACTTGTGGAATGTGTTTCAGCGTTGTGTATTAGGGCGGTTTTTCCTACGTTGTCCTGTAAGTTAACATTAGCTCCCCTTTTTATCAGCAAGTCAACGGTTTCTATTCTTGAAAGTTTCACCATTTGTATAAGATGGGTTTCTCCATTGTTGTCTTGTATATTTACGTTATCGCTAGCAACCAACAAGAGCTCTTCAATCATAGAACAATATGGGAAAAGGTTTGCTGCATTGTGCATTAGGGCAGTTTTTCCATCGTTGTCCTGTACGTTAACATCAGCTCCCGAAAATATCAAGAGGTCAACTATACTTGGTTGTGACAGTTTCACCATTTGTATAAGATGTGTTTCTCCATTCCTGTCTTGCATGTTCACGTTAGCGCCAGCTTTTAACAAGAGCTCTTCAATCATAGAACAATATGGGGAATATGTTGCAGTGTTGTGCATTAAAGCAGTTTTTCCATCGTTGTCCTGTACGTTGACGTCAGCTCCGAATGGTATCAGCAAGTCAACGGTGTCTATTCTTAAACTTTTCACCATTTGTATAAGATGGGTTTCTCCATTGTTGTCTTGAATGTTCACATTGGTACCAGCCGACAACAAGAGTTCTTCTATTCTATCAAACCACGGGTGGTGTGTGACAGTATTATACATTAGGGCAGTTTTTCCTTCGCTGTCCTGTGCGTTAACATTTGCTCCAGATTTTATCAGCAGATCAACCATTTCTAGTTCTAAACGTTTCACTGACTGAATTAGATATGTTTCTCCCATTGAGTTCCTGGCACTGATGTCCGCCCCGGCGCGAATCAAAGACCCAAGCCTGATCATTGATCTATCAAAAATGGCGTGCTGTACTGCAGCTAATCCTAAATTATTTTTTTGTACAACCTTCGCGCCATGGTCAAGCAACAGATTAATTATTTCAATTTTACCTTGTACTACAGCTAACATTAACGGCGTTTGACCGTGTTTATTTTGTAAATTTACATTGGAATTATATTGGACCAATAATCGAATCAGAGGAAAACCTGGATTATAGGTTACTACGTGTAGCAGAGGCGTGTCCCCGTGTTCATCTAAAACATTGGGATCCGCCCCTGCTTCTAGTAATATCTCCACCATATCTATATTGCGTAAGTGTAAACCAATTTGTAAAGCGGTTTTGTTATTATCATCTGTCATATTTACATCAGCGCCAGCGTCAGTTAACAAATTTACTAAATAACAACTATCTATACTGGCTGCAATGTGTAAAGCAGTCTGCATTCTCCTATTGACAACATTGATAAAGTCGAATTCGTCTGTGTCACTTGTTCTAGACATATCGATTTCTTCTCTTGTATTTAGTTTTGTTTTAACAATCAATGCCGCGATATCCTTTCTCTGTTTTCTTAAAGCATGATGTAGGATGGAGCCATCATTGAAATAAACTGTATCTAACGCGGCCCCGGCTTCCACGAGAAGCTGCACGGCTTCACAGCTCCCGAGTATCACGGCTTCATACAGAGCGCTGACACGTCTGCTGTTTAGACAATCAACGTCTGCTCCGTGCTGCACCAAATGACGTAGCAGGTCAATATTGCCAGCTTTAACCGCCATCATCAACGCCGTCTCCCCCCGGGCGTTGAAAGCTTCCAGCCCCGCCCCGTTACTCACAAGAAGTTCCCACATGTCTGTGTCGTTCTTCTCAATGGAAATAAAAAGGGCGTTAACCCCATTTACTGTAACATCTACATCTGCTTTGTGTTGTAGAAACAATTTCATCAGCGCAACATTTCCTGTTTCCGCCACACGGATTGGATTTGGAAGAAATTTCCCTCCGCATAAGTTAACATCGGCCCCTTTTCTTAACAAGTTATTTATCATATCTGTGTCGTTTCTATCAACAGCAATATTCAATGGCGTCTCTCCTACTTCGTTGTCTATATTGACGTCAGCGTTGCCTTCAATCAAAACATTGGCCACATCAAGATGATTTTCTACTAGAGATCTGAAAAGCAAGGACCTCCCACGAGTATCTTTTATGTTAGGATCGGCCCCTTTTTCAAGAAGTAAACGAATTAATTTTACATTTTTGCCATCGTCGTTTTCTACATCATCTAAATCAAAAGCGGAAACGAAAGTCTGACCTTCAAAAACGTTTAAACAAGCTTGCGTCAAGGCCGTCTGCCCATCAAAGTCCTTGCTGTCCAAGTATACCCCAGCATGAATTAAACACTCGGCAATGTCCGTGTGCTGGGAATTGATGGCACGCTGCAGGATTGTCTGGCCAAACTTGTCCAGTTTATCTAAATCCGCCCCACATTTGACCAGAGCCTGCACCGTTTCAAGATCTCCTTCCTCGACCGCGAGATACAACGCCGAGCTTTCCAGTCCTTCATGACGCCGGAATTCATTCTCAAGGTACACAATATCTTCTAAAAACCCATTCTCTCGTGCGATATTTAAAATAGTTCCAGATTGGATACAATCCACGCGCGCTCCTAGACCGACTAAAGTCTTAACAACATCGACGTATTCCTTCGCGCCTGCCAAAGACAAGGCGGTAAATTTACCGTCTGGGTCTTTACTTATTTCTAAATCCGCGCCGTGTCGTGTTAACATTGTGACGACCGTGGGGTTTTGTTCTCTGACGGCGATCATCAGCGGCGTCTCCCCAGCGCTGTTTTGTTCGTTGATGCGGCTCTTGTCTATGGCGTTCAGTGTGTTGTTACAAGCTGCAGTGTAGATGGACGCTACGTAAGTAGCCACCGCTTCCGGGTTTACAATAACTATTTCGAGGTCGCTTGAATAATTACTGTCCTGTTCATCAGATTGATATGGGGAATTGGAAAGTATAATATTGGATGAAGAGTTGTCTTGCATCCTGTCATCTAAAGAATAATCTTGCACAGTATCATCTGAAGAGTAATCTAGGCTAGTACCATCTGAAGAGCAATCTAGGCTAGTATCTTCTGAAGGGCAACCTAGGCTAGTATCTTCAGTAGAGCAACCTAGGCTAGTATCTTCTGTATAGCACTCTAGGCTAGTATCTTCTGAAGAGCAACCTAGGCTAAAATCTTTTGAAGGGCAACCTAGGTTAGTATCTTCTGTATAGCACTCTAGGCTAGTATTTTCTGAAGAGCAACCTAGGTTAGTACCATCTGAAGAGCAATCTAGCATGGCATTATCTGAAGAATATTTTTGAATAGGGTCTTCTGTAAACGTCGTTTCCATTGTAAACCTTTGAGATAGTGTTAGCTTTGTTTCATTTAAAGAAAACTGTTGAGTCATATTTGTGGGGGGGTTTTGTTCACTATCTTCAGATGAATACTCCAAAATAATATAATTTTCTGTATTAGCTTTGGAGCATGGCGTGTTGGAAATTTGTATTTTAAAGTTCATAAACTTGGGATCGCTGGTCTGATCTTCTGATTGGATGGGAGAAATGTGACGTTGAACATCACGTGATGCGGGGTTTAATGCCATTGTCTGTTACTCCCTGTGATCAGATTAAATACTTATGTAAAGACGAGATGGTAAGATAGAATAAGTGTTTGAATCACACACGACTAAAGTGGTAGGACAAAATACATATTTGAATCAGAACAATACTGAGACACTATCACACACGACTAAAGTGGTACGACAAAATACATATTTGAAACGTTTAAACTGACGGTCAATTAAAACCAAAGAGAGACTTTATTGCATAACATTGAAAAATAACAACAGTTTAACTGCAAGTAAATGCCCATCACAAAAGAGGTCACAATTTTTGTCGCTTTCATATCCCCCCCCCCCCCCTCCAAAAAAACATACACAATTTCCCCCCGTTGTTATCACATATTGTAAAAACCTTATCGAGACATCGATATCTTTCTAAAATGTGTTAGCTGACGCACCCCCACTCCCCCGGCACATAAGTCGAACCCAAACCCCTGAAGGCTGTAGCGTCATTTATGGGCCATCACCTTTGGGGCAAGCATAAATATCAAGCTTGTTTAAACTATTGTAGTCTCCTCCACCCTACTCCCCCCCCACACAGGCCTCAACCCCTCCCTCTCCACACACACACTGTTAAATGTCACCCTACCACCCGCCTCAATATTATAATATGATATTGTTTGTTAAACAGTATCTTCTTGAAAATATTTACTTACATAAAGTTCATTAATCAAGTTTTATTTCAATTTACCGAAATTAATCTTTTTTTAAAAATAAAATAAATTAATGGATACAAATTCAGTTGTTTTTTTTAAATCCCCACCCTATTGGAGAGCGACGTCATATATGGACCACGACCCCCACCCCATTCCATGCTTATAAGGCTTCGGTTTATAACTAGCAGTACGTGTCAGCTTGAAAAGTAAACGCTGGCATAATTTCAAAGAGAATGAAGAAACATAGGACTGACAGCAATGACAAAGACAAATAGCAATACAATAACAGGATAGTAAACAGGTCGACGTTAAACTGAAAGTTTAGTTAGACACACTCGAAAAATAATTAACCTAATTATCATAATGGAAAATGTGTTTAACTAAGTCTGTATAAAAAGTCTTACCTATTTCAAATATAGTATGCTGGGTAGCTTTAAAACTTCTTAACGTGCTCAAACAGTTCTACACAGAACCGTTATTGAATAGATTCCACAACTGGCACAGTTATTCAATAATTTATTGAACTCTCTGACTACGTGTGTCTATTTATAGGCACAGGCTTCCCGGAACTCACTTTTGTTTTAGTTTCTAAAAATAGACTGTTGTTATTTAAGTGTTTAAAGCAAAACTGAAACTGATTAGTAAATTAAACGGGCTCATTTAAGGGTTGGCGTATTTGAATGAAATGTATGGCAGCTGTCTTCGGTTTTGCTATAGCTGGGTAGTTCATTATCTGTTTATCTAAGTTAGGGTTAGCACCATTTTTTCAGGAATGTATTTGGGAGAAGACTGGACCCCGAAAGAAATAGAATTTATATATATATATATATATATATATATATATATATATATATATATATATATATATATATATATATATATATATATATACTTGAAACAGTTAGTCCGGAGCCCTTCCCCAGACATTTTCAAGTGATCTGCCCCCCAGGAGAAAATTGTCTGAAGGGAATACTCAAGGTTAGGGGTTAGGGTTGGTCTAAGGAAGTAATAATAAAGATTAAGAAATTTTAACTGAACTAAAGGAAGAAGCATCATTTGAAGCATCCACTTTACAATTACTTAAGCAGTGTTTATTTCCATGAAAAATAAAACATTGGCAAAAATAAGCGTGTTGCTTATTTTGTGTCACTGACTTGAAATAGAAAGTGTTGAAAATAACTACGTCACTGGGAAGGGCTTCAAAAGGCGTGTACTCCATTATAATGGTGCCTTAAAAATCGATCGTCTGGTAAGTGTATTATAGGTTAGGCGTCGTCCATAAACGACGTCACGCTCTATTGGTGAGGGGGGTGGGGAGTGAGGTTGAACTTTTGTGACTATGCGTGGTACGGGGGTGGGGTGGGGGAGAGTTAACAATATGTAACGACACATTTTTGCATTTTATATGTAATCTTAGAAAATGAGTTTCATCCGTTATATTTCATTTCAAAAGACATGTATTGGAAATTGAATTAATAATTGATCACCCAATATGTTAAATAGAAATCGCTGTTTAAAAACATAAAGAAAAAATTTGAGGGATTTAGTAAGCGGTGACATTTTTTAGGTTGTGGTCCCGACGTGTTAATACGTCTTATATGTATTACTCGTTAGGTATAATATTGGGAAACAGTTAAGCTTATGGTTGGGGTTAGTGTTGGAACATATATGCCTTATGCATGCATACATAAATGAAAATATGCATATACATATAAATAAATAAATAAATATATATATATATATATATATATATATATATATATATATATATATATATATATATATATATATATATATATGTGTGTGTGTGTGTGTGTGTGTGTGTGTGTGTGTGTGTGTGTGTGTGTGTAAGTGTGTGAGTGTGTGAGTGTGTGTGTGTGAATAAAATTTATAACATATACATTTATGGGCTTTAATCTATCCTCTTGCCATCTTGCACAGGACTGAGCTGGGTGATCTGTATACAGTGACCATTTTCCCATTTTCTTTTTGTTTCTAGCTATTTTTTTTTTTTGCAAATGTTTGGCTTCATATTTCAAGATGGGCATGGGGCAACAGCTAAGTAAGCCATCAAAAGAAACAGAGTTGCATCCCATAATGATTGTTTTCATTTGGTTTGTATGCCCTTTTACATTTCTTCATTCCATTACTAAATGTACACTATATCATAATTTTTTTGAAACTATATAAAACTACACAAAAAATATTTTTTTTTAATTTAAAAACATAACAAATAAACATATGGGACTTAAAATTATAAACTTATATTAAACTTATATAGTGTATAAACCAATGGGAATTAATCAAACTTTTAGACAAATAAGCTAATGATAATTAACATTCAATCAAGGTATTAACTACAGTAGTGCTGTATTAAGCTGCTTTGACATTTCTGTTTTTCTTAGAAAAGGAAAGTAATAGAATTTTTTAAAAATAAAAACACATCTAAGGTCAAAGGTTATTTATTAAATGTATTTAATAAGAGCAACTTGTATGATCACAGTGTAAATGTTTTTTTGTTTTTTTTAATTAGGCTTGATAATCATGGAGAATAAACCTAAACACAATCCAGATATTCTAGGTAAAAACATTATTCTGATTGTAAAATCAGCAAAAACATTAACATGGTTATTGAAAAAGTTGTTTTTAAAACAGTTTAGTTTTTTAAGAAAAACGTTAATTAACATTAAAAATGTGTCAATTTAAAAGTTTTACATAAAACAAGCAATTTTATAGGAAAATTTTAAATACGTCAATTGTATTTAAAAAAATTATTTTCAGCAATTTTTAATAAAAAGCATAGTAAAGTTTAGGTAGTTTTGAAAACATTAAGTTAAAAATAAAAGACAATGGCAGCAATTCTCTGAAAGCAAATTTCTAAGGTAAAGTTATGAAAAAAGAATAGAGTTATTAAAGAAAAAGAAAAAACTTCATTTTCAGAATTTTTGAAAACAAGAAGGCCAATTCTAATGGTAAACTGACAATAAAAATGGAAGTTGTAGAGACAAATAGAATTTAAGTAAAATAGATTCATTAATTCATCAATTAATATAAATAAATTAACAAAACTGTTTTAAAATAAAAGCATGGTCTCTTTTTTAACACAAATATTAAAGCTGTGTTTATAAAATTATTTTGAGACATATAATTATATATCAATGTCTTACAGTAATAATGGTCAATAAAAATTTTAGATTAGTAAAGAATTAAAAAATAAGAAATATAAAAATGATGGTTTACATGACCCGTGTTTGACCCATTCTTCACATGGACTGCAACCTGTAACTTGGAGAATTGCTCAAAAATTGTAGAATGACTATAAGTTATTTTTAAACAAGTTTGTAATGAGTAGTATTTGTTAATGATGTGCAAGCTGATCTAATAAAACAAAAACAATTATTTGACATAGTCAAAATAATTACTTTTGGCACAACTGGTGCATATCTGTCAAGCTAAAGTAAGCAATGAATTGTATATAAAACAAAAATAAAACATTGAAATAGACTTCGGTATAAAATTATAAAGTTAAAATATGTCTAACATAAACAAATTAGTACAACTAACCAAACTATATTTTAATATTATAATTGAGTTAATATATAATTTATTTTATTTAGAATTATATATGTTTTTTTTTAAAACCGACCTAACTGTAAAACATATGGTTACCAGCCAAAGTGGGGATAACAAATAAAGTTTTAATTCATAAAGTTGCGGCCCATGTGGGGCCGTAGCCCTGTTGATGTAGTTGTGTTGCATGCTCTTGTGAGCCATTTCACCTGTGGGTAGCTTCGTGCCTAGCAAGGCTGCTGTCTGTGGACACGTTGATGGTACCAAGATGTAGACCTAATGAAGGTAGTGTTGGTATATAAATTATGTTTATTGTTAGAATACTTATTTGTGTATTCCTGCTAGTGCTGTATGTGCACGCTAGTTAGGTTGAGTATTAAATTATTTAAGTATTTATTGTTGTACTACTTATTGGTACTTGTTGGCAGTACTGTGTAATGATCGCAACATTTTATTGTACCCGTGTATATTGTAGCCTACACGTGGTGTTCTCATGAATGTAACTTTTTCTTTACATTTGTTTTAGGGCTAAAGTTCTTTTTTACAGTCTTCTTTGTTTTCTTTTTTTGGTTTTCCTGTTCGTTTGGTATTCATCTGTAATCGTCGTATTTCTGTTGTTCTGCATCACCGTCATGGCTCGATGTAGTGAATAAAGCCCGTACTTGACAACAACTGTCGGTGTCAGTGTGTCCTAAATCTCAGGGTCAGCCCGTCTTAACCACAACATCTCAGTGGGTAAAAGCATCACCACTGAGTGAGGGTTACATTTGGCGCCCAACGTGGGGCTCGACCTTGAGAGATAGGCATGGCGAGCAGCGATCCGACGTTCGAGAAGTTGTCGCAGAAGCTGGCCGAGTTGACGACTAAGATAAAATAACCATCCCTAACGTACGTTAGACCCGGGCATATGAGGCTCGATAGATGGGGAAAGCAACCCATCTAGAATAGAAACTCCAAAATCAAACAACCGTTGATTTAGGTTTGCTCTTTGGTAGAAAAAAAGCTATGGAAGCGAATCTTGGAAGAAAAGCAGGTTAAAATCAGAATCAACGCGCCTCATGACGCATAACATGTTGACACGTGATACTTGATTGTGTTGGAGGAAATCTCATCCAACATTACAAATAAGAATTTTAAAAATTGAAAAAAAAAGATTTACATTAGATAATAATAATTATCAAAAGATAACAAGAACACTTCTAATAACTTTTAGATAAATGTCATTTTCAAATTTCAAAAACGTATTATAGAAAACCCCAACCTACAACATCACATCAAAGCCAGCTCAAACTACAGCCTTAAAAAACAACCGTACGGCCAGAATCTCAACAAAGGTCGCGGGTTCTCCAATTTTTCATATTCCTCCACATCAAAACACACGGGGATCTTGGACCATTTTTTCCTTGCTAGCCTGGCTATGGGGGTTCTAAACATCAGGGCGTCCTGCAGGTCAATGGGCAGTTCTAGACTTTGGATCCGCTGCGTTCTGTTAGCACCGGAACCAAGGCGAGTGGACACGGCGATGAAGGCCAGTTTGACCAACGGCCACGGGTTGCAAGCTGCACGTTTAATCTCCGGAGTACTGGCACGGGGATGTTTGCTAAAAGCCTGGATTATGCGAAGATCAATTGACATTAGGTAACAGTTTGAAATCAGATACTTGATAACGCCAGCTCTACCATTCGACATGGCCAGACAAAGCAGGGTTTGGCGCTTTTGATGTTTGTACATGTAGCCGTTACTCACGCATAACCGCATGTGTTCAAATCTGTTAAAGTTGGATATTTCGTTATTGAAAGCTAAAAGACCACACCGAGAAAACAAGCTCTCAAATATCTGCTGGTCAATGTATAAACAAGGATTGATTTTAAGATTTAACAGAAGTTCAGCGTTGAATTTACTTGCATTGACTTCAGTAATGGTATAGCTTGGAAATATTATGTGAATATTTTTAAAGGCATAATACAAAGCAGTCCTGTGCTTGTTGTCCTCTATATTGATGTTGATATTCTCCGCGGTGTGTAACTGTGAACTGGTGTGAAACGTTTTGTACTTAGCCGTGTACATTAAAGCCGTTTTACCTTTCTTGTCTTGCATGTTTACGTTAGCGCCATCAGCCAACAAGAGAGCTTCAATCCTAGAAAAACTTGTTGACTGTGTGGCTGCGTTGTGCATTAAAGCAGTTTTTCCATCGTTGTCCTGTACGTTAACATCAGCTCCTGAAATTATCAACCGGTTAACTATATCTGGCTTTGACAGTTTCACCATTTGTATAAGATGGGTTTCTCCATTCCTGTCTTGCATGTTCACGTTAGCGCCAGCTTTTAACAGGAGCTCTTCAATCCTAGAAAAAGATCTTGAAGTGTTGTGCATTAGGGCAGTTCTTCCTTCGTTGTCCTGTGCGTTAACATCAGCTCCGGATTTTATCATCAAGTCAACGGTTTCTATTCTTAAACTTTTCACCATTTGTATAAGATGAGTTTCTCCATTGTTGTCTTGAATGTTCACATTGGCACCAGCCGCCAATAAAAGTTCTTCAATTCTATAAAAAGACATTGAATGTGTTGCACGGTTGTGCAATAGGGCAGATTTTCCTTCGCTGTCCTGTGCGTTAACATCTGCTCCAGATTTTATCAGCACATCAACAATTTCTAGCTGTAAACGTTTCACTGACTGAATTAGATATGTTTCTCCGCTTGAGTTCCTGGCATTGATATCCGCCCCGGCGCGATTTAAAGACTTCAGACTGATCACTGATCTCTTGAAAATGGCGCGCTGTACCGCATCTAATCCTAAATTAGTTTTATGTACAACCTTCGCGTCATGGTCAAGCAAGAGATTAATTATCTCGATGTTGCCTTGTTCTACAGCTAACATTAACGGCGTTTGGCCGTGTTTATTTTTTATATTTACATTGGAATTATGTTGGATCAACAAACGTGCTATGGGAAAACCTTGAGCACAGGTTACTGCGTGTAGCAAAGGCGTTTCCCCGTGTTCATCTAAAACATTGGGATCCGCTCCTGCTTCTAGCAATATCTCCACCATATCTTTATTGTCTATATTGCTTATACCAATTTGTAAAGCGGTGTTGTTATTATCATCTGTCATATTTACATCAGCGCCAGCGTCAGTTAACAAATTTACTAAATAACAACTATCTATACTGGCTGCAATGTGTAAAGCAGTCTGCAATCTCCTATTGACAACATTGATAAAGTCGAATTCGTCTGTGTCACTTGTTCTAGACATATCGATTTCTTCTCTTGTATTTAGTTTTGTTTTAACAATCAATGCCGCGATATCTTTTCTCTGTTTTCTTAAAGCGAGGTGCAGGATGGAGCCATCATTGAAATAAACTGTATCCAACGCGGCCCCGGCTTCCACGAGAAGCTGCACGGCTTCACAGCTCCTGAGTATCACGGCTTCATACAGAGCGCTGACACGTCTGCTGTTTAGACAATCGACGTCTGCGCCGTGCTGCACCAAATGACGTAGCAGGTCAATATTGCCAGCTTTAACCGCCATCATCAACACTGTCTCCCCCCGGGCGTTGAAAGCTTCCAGCCCCGCCCCGTTACCCACAAGAAGTTCCCACATGTTTGTGTCGTTCTTCTCAATGGAAATAAAAAGGGCGTTAACCCCATCTACTGTAACATCTACATCTGCTTTGTGTTGTAAAAACAATTTCATCATCTCAAAATTTCCTGTTTCCGCCACACGAATTGGATTTGGAAGAAATTTCCCTCCGTATAAGTTAACATCGGCTCCTTTTCTTAACAAGTTCTTTATCATATCTGTGTCGTTTCTATTAACAGCAATATTCAATGGCGTCTCTCCTACTTCGTTGGCTGTATTGACGTCAGCGTTGCCTTCAATCAAAACATTGGCCAGATTAAGATGATTTTCTTCTAGAGATCTGAAAAGCAAGGACCTTCCACGACTATCTTTTATGTTTGGATCGGCACCCTTTTCAAGAAGTAAACTAATTAATTTCTTCATTTTGTCTAAATTGAAAGCCGTCCGTCCATAAAAGTCCTTGCTATCCAAGTAGACCCCAGCATGAATTAAACACTCGGCAATGTCCATGTGCTGGGAATTGATGGCACGCTGCAGGACTGTCTGGCCAAACTTGTCCAGTTTATCTAAATCCGCCCCACATTTGACCAGAGCCTGCACCGTTTCAAGATCTCCTACCTCAACCGCGAGATACAACGCCGAACTTTCCAGTCCTTCATGACGCCGGAATTCATTCTCAAGGTACACAATATCTTCTAAAAACCCATTCTCTCGCGCCATATTTAAAATAGTTCCAGATTCCATACAATCCACGCGCGCTCCTAGACCGACTAAAGTCTTAACAACATCGACGTATCCCTTCACGCCTGCCAAAGACAAGGCGGTAAATTTACCGTCTGGGTCTTTACTTATTTCTAAATCCGCGCCGTGTCGTGTTAACATTGTGACGGCCGTGGGGTTTTGTTCTCTGACGGCGATCATCAGCGGCGTCTCCCCAGCGCTGTTTTGTTCGTTGATGCGGCTCTTGTCTATGGCGTCCAGGGTGTTGTTACAAGCTGCGGTGTAGACGGACGTCACGTAGGTAGCCACCGCATCCGGGTTTATAACAACTATTTTGAGGTGGCTTGAATAATTTCTGTCCTGATCAGCAGATTGATATGGGGAATTAGAAAGTATAATATTGGGTGAAGAGTTGTCTTGCATCCTGTCATCTAAAGAATAATCTTGCATGGTATCATTTGAAGAGCTATCTAGGCTAGTATCATCTGAAGAGCTATCTAGGCTAGTATCATCTGAAGAGTTATCTAGGCTACTATCTTCTAAAGGGCAACCTAGGCTAGTATCTTCTGTATAGCACTTTAGGTTAGTGTCATCTGAAGAGCAACCTAGCACAGCAATATCTGAAGAATATTTTTGAATGGGATCTTTTGTAAATGTCGTTACCATAGTAAACCTTTGAGATAGAGTAAGCTTGGTTTCATTTGTGGGGAATTTTTGTTCCCTAACCTCAGACGAATACTCTAGTATAATATCTTTTTCTGTATCAGCTTTGGAGCACGGCGTGTTGGAAATTTCTATTTTAAAGTTCATAAACTTGGTATCGATGGTTTGATCTTCTGATTGGATGAGAGAAATGTGACGTGGAGCATCACGTGATGCGGGGTTTAATGCCATTGTCTGTTACTCCCTGTAATCAGATTAAATACTTATGTAAAGACGTTGTTGGCGAGATGGTCAAACAGAATAAATGGTTGAACCACACACAACCAAAGTGGTAGGACAAAATACATATTTGAATCACACACGACTAAAGTGGTAGGACAAAATACATATTTGAATCACACACGACTAAAGTGGTAGGACAAAATACATATTTGAATCACACACGACTAAAGTGGTAGGACAAAATACATATTTGAATCACACACGACTAAAGTGGTAGGACAAAATACATGTATGAATTACATACGACCAAAGTGGTAGGACAAAATATATGTATGAATTACATACGACTAAAGTGATAGGACAAAATACATGTATGAATTACATACGACCAAAGTGGTAGGACAAAATACATGTATGAATTACATACGACCAAAGTGGTAGGACAAAATACATGTATGAATTACATACGACTAAAGTGATAGGACAAAATACATATTTGAATCAGAACAAAACTGAGACACTATCGCACACGACTAAAGTGGTAGGACAAAATACATATTTGAATCAGAACAAAACTGAGACACTATCGCACACGACTAAAGTGGTAGGACAAAATACATATTTGAATCAGAACAAAACTGAGACACTATCGCACACGACTAAAGTGGTAGGACAAAATACATATTTGAATCAGAACAAAACTGAGACACTATCGCACACGACTAAAGTGGTAGGACAAAATACATATTTGAATCAGAACAAAACTGAGACACTATCGCACACGACTAAAGTGGTAGGACAAAATACACGTTTGAATCAGGACAAAACTCAGACACTATCACACGCGACTAAAGTGGTAGGACAAAATACATGTTTGAATCATAACAAAACTGAAACACTATCACACACGACTTTAGCGTTTAAACTGACGGTCTATTAAAACCAAAGAGAGACTTAATTGCATAGCAATGAGAAATAACAACAGTTTAACTGCAAGTAAGTGCCTATCACAGAAAAGGTCACAATTTTTGTCGCTTTCATATCCCCTCCACCCCACAAACATACACAATCCCCCCCCCCCGTTGTTATAACATATTGTCACAAACCTTATCGAGATATCTATATCTTTCTACAATGTGTTAGCTGACGCACCTCTCCTCCCCCTTTCCCCGTTTTTACTTATAAACTGTAACATTATTGAACTACCTCTAGTAACAAAACTAGATGTTAGACTTTTTTTATTAACCTCCCCCTCCCCCTCCCCCCCCCCCCTCTCCGTCACATAAGTCGGACCCAACCCCTGAAGGCTTTGTCGTCATTTATGGGCCATCACCTTTGAGGCAAGCATAAATATCAAGCTTGTTTAAACTAGTGTAGTCTCCTCCACCCCCTCCCCCCATCACATCGGCCTCACCCCCCTCCCCACACTACTAAATGTCACCCTACCACCCGCCTCAGTATTACAATTTGATGTCGTTTTCTAAACAGTATCTTCTCTAAAATATTTACTTGCACAAAGTTCATTGATCAAGTTTTATTTCAATTTACCGAAATTAATCTTTTTTAAAAAAAAAATAATGGATACAAATTCCGTTTTTCAACTTACCCTTCATCACAAAAATCTGAAAATCCCAACCCCTATATGAGAACGACGTCATTTATGGACCTCGACACCCCCCCCCCCCTCCCATTCAATGCTAATAAGGCTTCGGTTTATAACTAGCAGTACTGTGTCAGCTTGAAAAGTAAACGCTGACAGAATTTCAAAGAGATTAAAGGGACATAGTACTGACAGCAGGGACAAAGACAAATAGGAATAGGCCTACAATAACATGATAGTAAACAGGCTAACGTTAAACTGAAAGTTTAGTTAGACACACTCGAAAAATAATTTACCTAATTATCATAATGGAAAATGTGTTTAACTAAGTCTGTATAAAAAGTCTTACCTATTTCAAATATACTATGCTGGGTAGCTTTAAAACTTCTTAACGTGCTCTATACAGTTCTACACAGAACCGTTATTGAATAGATTCCACAACTGGCACAGTTATTCAATAATTTATTGAACTCTCTGACTACGTGTGTCTATTTAAAGGCACAGGCTTCCCGGAACTCACTTTTGTTTTAGTTTCTAAAAATAGACTGTTGTTATTTAAGTGTTTAAAGCAAAACTGAAACTGATTAGTAAATTAAACGGGCTCATTTAAGGGTTGGCGTATTTGAATGAAATGTATGGCAGCTGTCTTCGGTTTTGCTATAGCTGGGTAGTTCATTATCTGTTTATCTAAGTTAGGGTTAGCACCATTTTTTCAGGAATGTATTTGGGAGAAGACTGGACCCCGAAAGAAATAGAATTTATATATATATATATATATATATATATATATATATATATATATATATATATATATATATATATATATATATATATATATATACTTGAAACAGTTAGTCCGGAGCCCTTCCCCAGACATTTTCAAGTGATCTGCCCCCCAGGAGAAAATTGTCTGAAGGGAATACTCAAGGTTAGGGGTTAGGGTTGGTCTAAGGAAGTAATAATAAAGATTAAGAAATTTTAACTGAACTAAAGGAAGAAGCATCATTTGAAGCATCCACTTTACAATTACTTAAGCAGTGTTTATTTCCATGAAAAATAAAACATTGGCAAAAATAAGCGTGTTGCTTATTTTGTGTCACTGACTTGAAATAGAAAGTGTTGAAAATAACTACGTCACTGGGAAGGGCTTCAAAAGGCGTGTACTCCATTATAATGGTGCCTTAAAAATCGATCGTCTGGTAAGTGTATTATAGGTTAGGCGTCGTCCATAAACGACGTCACGCTCTATTGGTGAGGGGGGTGGGGAGTGAGGTTGAACTTTTGTGACTATGCGTGGTACGGGGGTGGGGTGGGGGAGAGTTAACAATATGTAACGACACATTTTTGCATTTTATATGTAATCTTAGAAAATGAGTTTCATCCGTTATATTTCATTTCAAAAGACATGTATTGGAAATTGAATTAATAATTGATCACCCAATATGTTAAATAGAAATCGCTGTTTAAAAACATAAAGAAAAAATTTGAGGGATTTAGTAAGCGGTGACATTTTTTAGGTTGTGGTCCCGACGTGTTAATACGTCTTATATGTATTACTCGTTAGGTATAATATTGGGAAACAGTTAAGCTTATGGTTGGGATTAGTGTTGGAACATATATGCCTTATGCATGCATACATAAATGAAAATATGCATATACATATAAATAAATAAATATATATATATATATATATATATATATATATATATATATATATATATATATATATATATATATATATATATATATATGTGTGTGTGTGTGTGTGTGTGTGTGTGTGTGTGTGTGTAAGTGTGTGAGTGTGTGAGTGTGTGTGTGTGAATAAAATTTATAACATATACATTTATGGGCTTTAATCTATCCTCTTGCCATCTTGCACAGGACTGAGCTGGGTGATCTGTATACAGTGACCATTTTCCCATTTTCTTTTTGTTTCTAGCTATTTTTTTTTTTTGCAAATGTTTGGCTTCATATTTCAAGATGGGCATGGGGCAACAGCTAAGTAAGCCATCAAAAGAAACAGAGTTGCATCCCATAATGATTGTTTTCATTTGGTTTGTATGCCCTTTTACATTTCTTCATTCCATTACTAAATGTACACTATATCATAATTTTTTTGAAACTATATAAAACTACACAAAAAATATTTTTTTTTAATTTAAAAACATAACAAATAAACATATGGGACTTAAAATTATAAACTTATATTAAACTTATATAGTGTATAAACCAATGGGAATTAATCAAACTTTTAGACAAATAAGCTAATGATAATTAACATTCAATCAAGGTATTAACTACAGTAGTGCTGTATTAAGCTGCTTTGACATTTCTGTTTTTCTTAGAAAAGGAAAGTAATAGAATTTTTTAAAAATAAAAACACATCTAAGGTCAAAGGTTATTTATTAAATGTATTTAATAAGAGCAACTTGTATGATCACAGTGTAAATGTTTTTTTGTTTTTTTTAATTAGGCTTGATAATCATGGAGAATAAACCTAAACACAATCCAGATATTCTAGGTAAAAACATTATTCTGATTGTAAAATCAGCAAAAACATTAACATGGTTATTGAAAAAGTTGTTTTTAAAACAGTTTAGTTTTTTAAGAAAAACGTTAATTAACATTAAAAATGTGTCAATTTAAAAGTTTTACATAAAACAAGCAATTTTATAGGAAAATTTTAAATACGTCAATTGTATTTAAAAAAATTATTTTCAGCAATTTTTAATAAAAAGCATAGTAAAGTTTAGGTAGTTTTGAAAACATTAAGTTAAAAATAAAAGACAATGGCAGCAATTCTCTGAAAGCAAATTTCTAAGGTAAAGTTATGAAAAAAGAATAGAGTTATTAAAGAAAAAGAAAAAACTTCATTTTCAGAATTTTTGAAAACAAGAAGGCCAATTCTAATGGTAAACTGACAATAAAAATGGAAGTTGTAGAGACAAATAGAATTTAAGTAAAATAGATTCATTAATTCATCAATTAATATAAATAAATTAACAAAACTGTTTTAAAATAAAAGCATGGTCTCTTTTTTAACACAAATATTAAAGCTGTGTTTATAAAATTATTTTGAGACATATAATTATATATCAATGTCTTACAGTAATAATGGTCAATAAAAATTTTAGATTAGTAAAGAATTAAAAAATAAGAAATATAAAAATGATGGTTTACATGACCCGTGTTTGACCCATTCTTCACATGGACTGCAACCTGTAACTTGGAGAATTGCTCAAAAATTGTAGAATGACTATAAGTTATTTTTAAACAAGTTTGTAATGAGTAGTATTTGTTAATGATGTGCAAGCTGATCTAATAAAACAAAAACAATTATTTGACATAGTCAAAATAATTACTTTTGGCACAACTGGTGCATATCTGTCAAGCTAAAGTAAGCAATGAATTGTATATAAAACAAAAATAAAACATTGAAATAGACTTCGGTATAAAATTATAAAGTTAAAATATGTCTAACATAAACAAATTAGTACAACTAACCAAACTATATTTTAATATTATAATTGAGTTAATATATAATTTATTTTATTTAGAATTATATATGTTTTTTTTTAAAACCGACCTAACTGTAAAACATATGGTTACCAGCCAAAGTGGGGATAACAAATAAAGTTTTAATTCATAAAGTTGCGGCCCATGTGGGGCCGTAGCCCTGTTGATGTAGTTGTGTTGCATGCTCTTGTGAGCCATTTCACCTGTGGGTAGCTTCGTGCCTAGCAAGGCTGCTGTCTGTGGACACGTTGATGGTACCAAGATGTAGACCTAATGAAGGTAGTGTTGGTATATAAATTATGTTTATTGTTAGAATACTTATTTGTGTATTCCTGCTAGTGCTGTATGTGCACGCTAGTTAGGTTGAGTATTAAATTATTTAAGTATTTATTGTTGTACTACTTATTGGTACTTGTTGGCAGTACTGTGTAATGATCGCAACATTTTATTGTACCCGTGTATATTGTAGCCTACACGTGGTGTTCTCATGAATGTAACTTTTTCTTTACATTTGTTTTAGAGCTAAAGTTCTTTTTTACAGTCTTCTTTGTTTTCTTTTTTGGTTTTCCTGTTCGTTTGGTATTCATCTGTAATCGTCGTATTTCTGTTGTTCTGCATCACCGTCATGGCTCGATGTAGTGAATAAAGCCCGTACTTGACAACAACTGTCGGTGTCAGTGTGTCCTAAATCTCAGGGTCAGCCCGTCTTAACCACAACATCTCAGTGGGTAAAAGCATCACCACTGAGTGAGGGTTACATTTGGCGCCCAACGTGGGGCTCGACCTTGAGAGATAGGCATGGCGAGCAGCGATCCGACGTTCGAGAAGTTGTCGCAGAAGCTGGCCGAGTTGACGACTAAGATAAAATAACCATCCCTAACGTACGTTAGACCCGGGCATATGAGGCTCGATAGATGGGGAAAGCAACCCATCTAGAATAGAAACTCCAAAATCAAACAACCGTTGATTTAGGTTTGCTCTTTGGTAGAAAAAAAGCTATGGAAGCGAATCTTGGAAGAAAAGCAGGTTAAAATCAGAATCAACGCGCCTCATGACGCATAACATGTTGACACGTGATACTTGATTGTGTTGGAGGAAATCTCATCCAACATTACAAATAAGAATTTTAAAAATTGAAAAAAAAAAGATTTACATTAGATAATAATAATTATCAAAAGATAACAAGAACACTTCTAATAACTTTTAGATAAATGTCATTTTCAAATTTCAAAAACGTATTATAGAAAACCCCAACCTACAACATCACATCAAAGCCAGCTCAAACTACAGCCTTAAAAAACAACCGTACGGCCAGAATCTCAACAAAGGTCGCGGGTTCTCCAATTTTTCATATTCCTCCACATCAAAACACACGGGGATCTTGGACCATTTTTTCCTTGCTAGCCTGGCTATGGGGGTTGTAAACATCAGGGCGTCCTGCAGGTCAACGGGCAGTTCTAGACTTTGGATCCGCTGCGTTCTGTTAGCACCGGAACCAAGGCGAGTGGACACGGCGATGAAGGCCAGTTTGACCAACGGCCACGGGTTGCAAGCTGCACGTTTAATCTCCGGAGTACTGGCACGGGGATGTTTGCTAAAAGCCTGGATTATGCGAAGATCAATTGACATTAGGTAACAGTTTGAAATCAGATACTTGATAACGCCAGCTCTACCATTCGACATGGCCAGACAAAGCAGGGTTTGGCGCTTTTGATGTTTGTACATGTAGCCGTTACTCACGCATAACCGCATGTGTTCAAATCTGTTAAAGTTGGATATTTCGTTATTGAAAGCTAAAAGACCACACCGAGAAAACAAGCTCTCAAATATCTGCTGGTCAATGTTTAAACAAGGATTGATTTTAAGATTTAACAGAAGTTCAGCGTTGAATTTACTTGCATTGACTTCAGTAATGGTATAGCTTGGAAATATTATGTGAATATTTTTAAAGGCATAATACAAAGCAGTCCTGTGCTTGTTGTCCTCTATATTGATGTTGATATTCTCCGCGGTGTGTAACTGTGAACTGGTGTGAAACGTTTTGTACTTAGCCGTGTACATTAAAGCCGTTTTACCTTTCTTGTCTTGCATGTTTACGTTAGCGCCATCAGCCAACAAGAGCGCTTCAATCCTAGAAAAACTTGTTGACTGTGTGGCTGCGTTGTGCATTAAAGCAGTTTTTCCATCGTTGTCCTGTACGTTAACATCAGCTCCTGAAATTATCAACCGGTTAACTATATCTGGCTTTGACAGTTTCACCATTTGTATAAGATGGGTTTCTCCATTCCTGTCTTGCATGTTCACGTTAGCGCCAGCTTTTAACAGGAGCTCTTCAATCCTAGAAAAAGATCTTGAAGTGTTGTGCATTAGGGCAGTTCTTCCTTCGTTGTCCTGTGCGTTAACATCAGCTCCGGATTTTATCATCAAGTCAACGGTTTCTATTCTTAAACTTTTCACCATTTGTATAAGATGAGTTTCTCCATTGTTGTCTTGAATGTTCACATTGGCACCAGCCGCCAATAAAAGTTCTTCAATTCTATAAAAAGACATTGAATGTGTTGCACGGTTGTGCAATAGGGCAGATTTTCCTTCGCTGTCCTGTGCGTTAACATCTGCTCCAGATTTTATCAGCACATCAACAATTTCTAGCTGTAAACGTTTCACTGACTGAATTAGATATGTTTCTCCGCTTGAGTTCCTGGCATTGATATCCGCCCCGGCGCGATTTAAAGACTTCAGACTGATCACTGATCTCTTGAAAATGGCGCGCTGTACCGCATCTAATCCTAAATTAGTTTTATGTACAACCTTCGCGTCATGGTCAAGCAAGAGATTAATTATCTCGATGTTGCCTTGTTCTACAGCTAACATTAACGGCGTTTGGCCGTGTTTATTTTTTATATTTACATTGGAATTATGTTGGATCAACAAACGTGCTATGGGAAAACCTTGAGCATAGGTTACTGTGTGTAGCAAAGGCGTTTCCCCGTGTTCATCTAAAACATTGGGATCCGCTCCTGCTTCTAGCAATATCTCCACCATATCTTTATTGTCTATATTGCTTATACCAATTTGTAAAGCGGTGTTGTTATTATCATCTGTCATATTTACATCAGCGCCAGCGTCAGTTAACAAATTTACTAAATAACAACTATCTATACTGGCTGCAATGTGTAAAGCAGTCTGCAATCTCCTATTGACAACATTGATAAAGTCGAATTCGTCTGTGTCACTTGTTCTAGACATATCGATTTCTTCTCTTGTATTTAGTTTTGTTTTAACAATCAATGCCGCGATATCTTTTCTCTGTTTTCTTAAAGCGAGGGTCAGGATGGAGCCATCATTGAAATAAACTGTATCCAACGCGGCCCCGGCTTCCACGAGAAGCTGCACGGCTTCACAGCTCCTGAGTATCACGGCTTCATACAGAGCGCTGACACGTCTGCTGTTTAGACAATCGACGTCTGCGCCGTGCTGCACCAAATGACGTAGCAGGTCAATATTGCCAGCTTTAACCGCCATCATCAACACTGTCTCCCCCCGGGCGTTGAAAGCTTCCAGCCCCGCCCCGTTACCCACAAGAAGTTCCCACATGTTTGTGTCGTTCTTCTCAATGGAAATAAAAAGGGCGTTAACCCCATCTACTGTAACATCTACATCTGCTTTGTGTTGTAAAAACAATTTCATCATCTCAACATTTCCTGTTTCCGCCACACGAATTGGATTTGGAAGAAATTTCCCTCCGTATAAGTTAACATCGGCTCCTTTTCTTAACAAGTTCTTTATCATATCTGTGTCGTTTCTATTAACAGCAATATTCAATGGCGTCTCTCCTACTTCGTTGGCTGTATTGACGTCAGCGTTGCCTTCAATCAAAACATTGGCCAGATTAAGATGATTTTCTTCTAGAGATCTGAAAAGCAATGACCTCCCACGAGTATCTTTTATGTTAGGATCGGCGCCTTTTTCAAGAAGTAAACTAATTAATTTCTTCATTTTGTCTAAATTGAAAGCCGTCCGTCCATAAAAGTCCTTGCTATCCAAGTAGACCCCAGCATGAATTAAACACTCGGCAATGTCCATGTGCTGGGAATTGATGGCACGCTGCAGGACTGTCTGGCCAAACTTGTCCAGTTTATCTAAATCCGCCCCACATTTGACCAGAGCCTGCACCGTTTCAAGATCTCCTACCTCAACGGCGAGATACAACGCCGAACTTTCCAGTCCTTCATGACGCCGGAATTCATTCTCAAGGTACACAATATCTTCTAAAAACCCATTCTCTCGCGCCATATTTAAAATAGTTCCAGATTCCATACAATCCACGCGCGCTCCTAGACCGACTAAAGTCTTAACAACATCGACGTATCCCTTCACGCCTGCCAAAGACAAGGCGGTAAATTTACCGTCTGGGTCTTTACTTATTTCTAAATCCGCGCCGTGTCGTGTTAACATTGTGACGGCCGTGGGGTTTTGTTCTCTGACGGCGATCATCAGCGGCGTCTCCCCAGCGCTGTTTTGTTCGTTGATGCGGCTCTTGTCTATGGCGTCCAGGGTGTTGTTACAAGCTGCGGTGTAGACGGACGTCACGTAGGTAGCCACCGCATCCGGGTTTATAACAACTATTTTGAGGTGGCTTGAATAATTTCTGTCCTGATCAGCAGATTGATATGGGGAATTAGAAAGTATAATATTGGGTGAAGAGTTGTCTTGCATCCTGTCATCTAAAGAATAATCTTGCATGGTATCATTTGAAGAGCTATCTAGGCTAGTATCATCTGAAGAGCTATCTAGGCTAGTATCATCTGAAGAGTTATCTAGGCTACTATCTTCTAAAGGGCAACCTAGGCTAGTATCTTCTGTATAGCACTTTAGGTTAGTGTCATCTGAAGAGCAACCTAGCACAGCAATATCTGAAGAATATTTTTGAATGGGATCTTTTGTAAATGTCGTTACCATAGTAAACCTTTGAGATAGAGTAAGCTTGGTTTCATTTGTGGGGAATTTTTGTTCCCTAACCTCAGACGAATACTCTAGTATAATATCTTTTTCTGTATCAGCTTTGGAGCACGGCGTGTTGGAAATTTCTATTTTAAAGTTCATAAACTTGGTATCGATGGTTTGATCTTCTGATTGGATGAGAGAAATGTGACGTGGAGCATCACGTGATGCGGGGTTTAATGCCATTGTCTGTTACTCCCTGTAATCAGATTAAATACTTATGTAAAGACGTTGTTGGCGAGATGGTCAAACAGAATAAATGGTTGAACCACACACAACCAAAGTGGTAGGACAAAATACATATTTGAATCACACACGACTAAAGTGGTAGGACAAAATACATATTTGAATCACACACGACTAAAGTGGTAGGACAAAATACATATTTGAATCACACACGACTAAAGTGGTAGGACAAAATACATATTTGAATCACACACGACTAAAGTGGTAGGACAAAATACATGTATGAATTACATACGACCAAAGTGGTAGGACAAAATACATGTATGAATTACATACGACTAAAGTGATAGGACAAAATACATGTATGAATTACATACGACCAAAGTGGTAGGACAAAATACATGTATGAATTACATACGACTAAAGTGATAGGTCAAAATACATGTATGAATTACATACGACTAAAGTGATAGGACAAAATACATGTATGAATTACATACGACCAAAGTGGTAGGACAAAATACATGTATGAATTACATACGACCAAAGTGGTAGGACAAAATACATGTATGAATTACATACGACTAAAGTGATAGGACAAAATACATATTTGAATCAGAACAAAACTGAGACACTATCGCACACGACTAAAGTGGTAGGACAAAATACATATTTGAATCAGAACAAAACTGAGACACTATCGCACACGACTAAAGTGGTAGGACAAAATACATATTTGAATCAGAACAAAACTGAGACACTATCGCACACGACTAAAGTGGTAGGACAAAATACATATTTGAATCAGAACAAAACTGAGACACTATCGCACACGACTAAAGTGGTAGGACAAAATACATATTTGAATCAGAACAAAACTGAGACACTATCGCACACGACTAAAGTGGTAGGACAAAATACACGTTTGAATCAGGACAAAACTCAGACACTATCACACGCGACTAAAGTGGTAGGACAAAATACATGTTTGAATCATAACAAAACTGAAACACTATCACACACGACTTTAGCGTTTAAACTGACGGTCTATTAAAACCAAAGAGAGACTTAATTGCATAGCAATGAGAAATAACAACAGTTTAACTGCAAGTAAGTGCCTATCACAGAAAAGGTCACAATTTTTGTCGCTTTCATATCCCCTCCACCCCACAAACATACACAATCCCCCCCCCCCCCCCCCATTGTTATAACATATTGTCACAAACCTTATCGAGATATCTATATCTTTCTACAATGTGTTAGCTGACGCACCTCTCCTCCCCCTTTCCCCGTTTTTACTTATAAACTGTAACATTATTGAACTACCTCTAGTAACAAAACTAGATGTTAGACTTTTTTTATTAACCTCCCCCTCCCCCTCCCCCCCCCCCCCCTCTCCGTCACATAAGTCGGACCCAACCCCTGAAGGCTTTGTCGTCATTTATGGGCCATCACCTTTGAGGCAAGCATAAATATCAAGCTTGTTTAAACTAGTGTAGTCTCCTCCACCCCCTCCCCCCATCACATCGGCCTCACCCCCCTCCCCACACTACTAAATGTCACCCTACCACCCGCCTCAGTATTACAATTTGATGTCGTTTTCTAAACAGTATCTTCTCTAAAATATTTACTTGCACAAAGTTCATTGATCAAGTTTTATTTCAATTTACCGAAATTAATCTTTTTTTAAAAAAAAATAATGGATACAAATTCCGTTTTTCAACTTACCCTTCATCACAAAAATCTGAAAATCCCAACCCCTATATGAGAACGACGTCATTTATGGACCTCGACACCCCCCCCCCCCCCCCCCCCGTCCCATTCAATGTTTATAAGGCTTCGGTTTATAACTAGCAGTACTGTGTCAGCTTGAAAAGTAAACGCTGACAGAATTTCAAAGAGATCAAAGGGACATAGTACTGACAGCAGGGACAAAGACAAATAGGAATAGGCCTACAATAACATGATAGTAAACAGGCTAACGTTAAACTGAAAGTTTAGTTAGACACACTCGAAAAATAATTAACCTAATTATCATAATGGAAAATGTGTTTAACTAAGTCTGTATAAAAAGTCTTACCTATTTCAAATATACTATGCTGTGTAGCTTTAAAACTTCTTAACGTGCTCTATACAGTTCTACACAGTACAGTTATTGAATAGATTCCACAACTGGCAAAGTTACTCAATAGTTTATTGAACTCTCTGACTCCGGGTATCTATTTATAGGCACAGGCTTCCCGGAACTCACTCTTGTTTTTAGTTTCCAAAAAAGAATTGTTAAGTGTTTTAAGCGAAATTTGAAACAGGTTAGTGATTAAATCGTTTATCACACCATAGATTAACTTAATGGAAGAAGTATCACCTGAAGCATCCACTTTACAAAGATATAAGCAGTGTTTATTTCCTCGAGAAAAAAAACATTGTCGAGAATAAGCGTGTTGCTTCTTTCGTCTTCGACACTACCTTGAAATAGAAAGTGTTCAAATTAAGTACGTCACTGGTAAAGGGCTTCAAGGGGCGTGTACTCCATTATAATGCTGCCTTAAAAATCGATCGTCTGGTAGATGTGTTACAGGGGTTAGGCGTCGTCCATAAACGACGTCACGCTCTATTGATCGGGGAGGGGGGGTGAGGTTGATCTTTTGTGACTATGCGTGGTACGGGGGTGGGGTGGGGGAGAGTTAACAATATGTAACGACACATTTTTGCATTTTATATGTAATCTTAAAAACTGAGTTTCATCCATTATATTTCATTTCAAAAGACATGTATTGGAAATAGTAATAATAATTGATCAGCCAATATGTTATATAGAAATCGCTGTTTAAAAATATAAAGAAGAATTTTGAGGGGTTTGGTAAGCGGTGACATTTTCCAGCTTGGGGTCTCCACAACCACCCCCACCCATATGGATATTATTCCATGGAGTCAATACTTCCCTAGAAAATTACCCCCCCCCCCCCCTCACACACCTTTTCTGACCATCAATAAACTTGAACATAACACTAACCCCAACCAAACTGTATATCTATCCCTAACCACCCCATTGTATTTTAATAAACAATACTCTCCCTCAAGCCAGATACACATCAATGACAGCTGTCAGCCAATTCAGGGCATTCGTTTACTGAGAATCAAGGGAAATGATCCCTAAATTCCACAGTAACCATTTAAAACAAAGAAAGTAGCCTCCCATGACAAGTTTTCAATACAAAAAAAGTTATTTCAAAAATTGCCCTCCAACTCCTCTATATTGTTCTTTTCTTCTAAATGAAAACCCCGCCTAGTTCAACATAGGTGTGTGACAATGTCGCTGAAGATGTATTTAAATTTGTAAACCTATGTGAATAAAATGTATAACATATACATTTATGGGACCTTATTCTATCCACTTCCCATCTTGCCTAGGACTGAGCTGGGTGATCTGTATACAGTGACCGTTTTCCCACTGTTTTTTTTTCTAGCCTTGGGTTGATTTAAATTTTTGGCTTCATATTTTAAGATGGGGCATGGGGTAAGCCATTAAACGAAACAGAGTTGCATCCCCTAAAGATTGTTTTCATTTAGCTTTTATGCCCTTTTAAATTTCTTCATTCCATTACTAAATGTACACTTTATCATAATTTCTTTGAAACTATATAAAACTACAAAATAATATTTTTAAAAAAATTTAAAACCATAACATATATACCTATGGGACTTACAAAACTTATAGAGCATGTTAACCAATGTGAATGAATTAAACTTTTAATATGTAAACCAATGGTAATTAATTCACCATTCAATCAAGCTATTAACTGCAGTAGTGCTGTATCAAGTTACCGTAGACATTTCTGTTTTGCTTAGAACAGGAAAGTAATAGAATTTTTGAAATAAAAATAAACACATCCAAAGTGAAAGGTTATTTATTAAATGTATTTATTTAATTTGTATGATCACAGTGTAATTGTTTTTAAAAAGTTAGGCTTGATAATCATGGAGAATAAATCTAAACACAATCCAGATATTCTATGTAAAAACATTATTCTGATTGTAAAATCAGCAAAAACATTAACATGGTTATTGAAAAAGTTGTTTTTAAGACAGTTTAGGGTTTTAAGAAAAATGTAATTAACATTAAAAATGTGTCAATTTTAATGTTTTACATAAAACAAGCAATTTGATAGAAAAATTTTAAATACGTCAATTTTATTTAAAAAAAATTATTTTCAGCGATTCTTTATAAAAAGCACAGTAAAGTTTATGTAGTTTTGAAATCATCAATTTAAAAATAAAAGACAATGGCAGCAATTCTCTGAAAGCTAGTTTCCAAGGTAAAGTTATGAGAAAAGAATTGAGTTATTAAAGAAAAAGAAAAAAGCTTCATTTTCAGAATTTTTGAAAACAAGAAGGGCTATTTTAATGGTAAACTGACAATAAAAATGGAAATTGTAGAGAGAAATACAATTTTTTTTAAATAGATTAATCAATTCATCAATTAATATAAATAAATTAACAAAACTGTTTTTAAAATAAAAGCATAGCCCCTTTTTTAACACAAATATTGAAACTGTGTTTACTACATTATTTTAAGACATATAATTATATATCAATGTCTTACAGCAATAATGGTCAATAAAAATTTTAGATTAGTAAAGAATTAAAAGATAAGAAATATAAAAATGATGGGTTACATGAACCATGTTTGACCCATTCTTCACATGGACTGCAACCTGTAACTTGGAGAATTGCTAAAAAATTGTAGAATGACTATATGTTATTTTTAAACAAGTATGTAATGAATAGTATTTGTTATTGATGTGCAAGCTGATCTAATGAAACAAAAACAATTATTTGACATAGTCAAAATAAATTACTTTTGGCACAACTGGTGCATATCTGTCAAGCTAAAGTAAGCAATGAATTGTATATAAAACAAAAATAAAACATTGAAATAGACTTCTGTAAAAAGTTATAAAGTTAAAATATGTCTAACATAAACAAATTAGTACATCTAACCAAACTATATTTTAATATTATAATTTAGTTAATATATAATTTATTTTATTTAGAATTATATATGTTTTTTTTTAAAAACCGCCCTAACTGTAAAACATATGGTTACCAGCCAAAGGGGGGATAACAAATAAAGTTTTAATTCATTGAGTTGCGGCCCCTGTGTGGCCGTAGCCCTGTTGACGTAGTTGTGTTGCATGCTCTTCTGAGCGATTTTACCTCTGTCCCATGTCACGTGACATGGGACTGTGGGTAGCTTCGTGCCTAACCGTGTCAGTCACACGCAAGGCTGCTGTCTGTCGACACGGTGACGGTACCAAGATGTAGACCTAATGAAGGTAGTGTGGGTATATATATTATGTTTATTGTTAGAATACTTATTTGTGTATTCCTGCTAGTGCTGTATGTGCACACTAGTTAGGTTGAGTACTAAATTATTTAAGTATTTATTGTTGTATTACTTATTGGTACTTGTTGGCAGTACTGTGTACTGACCGCAACATTTTATTGTACCCGTGTATATTGTAGCCTACACGTGGTGTTCTCATGAATGTAACTTTTTCTTTACATTTGTTTTAGGGCTAAACTTCTTTTTTACAGTCTTCTTTGTTTTCTTTTTTGGTTTTCCTGTTCGTTTGGTATTCATCTGTAATCGTCGTATTACTGTTGTTCTGCATCGCCGTCATGGCTCGATGTAGTGAATAAAGCCCGTACTTGTCAACAACTGTCGGTGTCAGTGTGTCCTAAATCTCAGGGTCAGCCCGTCTTAACCACAACATCTCAGTAAGTAAAAGCATCACCACTGAGTGAGGGTTACATTTGGCGCCCAACGTGGGGCTCGACCTTGAGAGATAGGCATGGCGAGCAGCGATCCGACGTTCGAGAAGTTGTCGCAGAAGCTGGCCGAGTTGACGACTAAGATAAAATAACCATCCCTAACGTACGTTAGACCCGGGCATATGAGGCTCGATAGATGGGGAAAGCAACCCATCTAGAATAGAAACTCCAAAATCAAACAACCGTTGATTTAGGTTTGCTCTTTGGTAGAAGAAAAGCTATGGAAGCGAATCTTGGAAGAAAAGCAGGTTAAAATCAGAATCAACGCGCCTCATGACGCATAACATGTTGACACGTGATACTTGATTGTGTTGGAGGAAATCTCATCCAACATTACAAATAAGAATTTTTGAAATTGAAAAAAAAAAGATTTACATTAGATAATAATAATTATCAAAAGATAACAAGAACAATAACTTTTAGATAAATGTCATTTCCAAATTTCAACAGCGTATTATAGAAAACCCTAACCTACAACATCACATCAAAGCCAGCTCAAACTACAGCCTTAAAAAACAACCGTACGGCCAGAATCTTAACAAAGGTCGCGGGTTCTCCAATTTTTCATATTCCTCCACATCAAAACACACGGGGATCTTGGACCATTTTTTCCTTGCTAGCCTGGCTATGGGGGTTTTAAACATCAGGGCGTCCTGCAGGTCAACGGGCAGTTCTAGACTTTGGATCCGCTGTGTTCTGTTAGCACCGGAACCAAGACCAGTGGACACGGCAATGAAGGCCAGTTTGACCAACGGCCACGGGTTGCAAGCTGCAAGTTTAATCATTGGGATATTGACACGGGGATGTTTGCTAACAGCCCGCATTAAGGAAAGATCATTGCTCACAAGGTAACAGTTTGAAATCAGGTACTTCATAACGTCAACTCTAAGATTCGTCATGGCCAGACAAAACAGGGTTTCGTGTTTTTGATGTTTGTACATGTATCCGTTACTCACGCACAACCGCATGTGTTCAAATCTGTTGAAGTTGGAGATTTTGTCATTGAAAGCTAAAAGACCACACCGAGATAACAAGCTCTCAAATATCTGCTGGTCAATGTTTAAACAAGGATTGATTTTAAGATTTAACAGAATTTCAGCGTTGAATTTACTTCCATTGACATTATTTAAGCTATAGCTTGACAACATTCCGTGCATATTTTTAAATGCATAATACAAAGCCGTCCTGTGCTTGTTGTCCTCTATGTTTATGTTGATATTCTCCGCGATGTGTAACTGTGAACTGGTGTGAAACATCTCGTATTTGGCTGTGTACATTAAAGCCGTTTTACCTTTCTTGTCTTGTATGTTTACGTTAGCGCCAGCCGCCAACAAGAGCTCTTCAATCCTAGAAAAACTTGTGGAATGTGTTGCTGCGTTGTGGATTAGGGCAGTTTTTCCTTCGTTGTCCTGTACGTTAACATCAGCTCTTGATTTTATCAGCAAGTCAACGGTTTCTATTCTTAAACGTTTCACCATGTGTATAAGAAGGGTCTCTCCATTTTTGTCTTGAATGTTAACGTTAGCTCCAGCTTTTAACAATAGCGTCTCAATCCTAGAAAAAAATGGGGAATGTGTTGCTGCGTTGTGCATTAGGGCAGTTTTTCCTTGGTTGTCCTGTACGTTAACATCAGCTCCTGAAATTATCAACCGGTTAACTTTATCTAATTGTGACAGTTTCACCATTTGTATAAGATTGGTTTCTCCATTGTTGTCTTGAATGTTAACGTTAGCTCCAGCTTTTAACAATAGCGTCTCAATCCTAGAAAAACTTAGGAATTGTGTTGCTGCGTTGTGCATAAGGGCAGTTTTTCCTTGGTTGTCCTGTACGTTAACATCAGCTCCTGAAATTATCAACAGGTTAACTATATCTGGTTTTGACTGTTTCACCATTTGTATAAGATGCGTTTCTCCATGGTTGTCTTGAATGTTCATATTGGCACCAGCCGCCAATAAAAGCTCTTGAATTCTATTAAACGCCATTGAATGTGTTGCACCGTTATGCATTAGGGCACTTTTTCCTTCGCTGTCCTGTACGTTAACATCTGCTCCAGATTTTATCAGCAGGTCAGCGATTTCTAGTTGTAAAAGTTTCACTGACTGAATTAGATATGTCTCTCCCCTTGAGTTCCTGGCATTGATATCCGCCCCGGCACGAATTAAAGACTTCAGGCTGATCATTGATCCCTTGAAAATGGCGTGCTGTACCGCATCTAATCCTAAATTAGTTTTATGTACAACCTCCGCGCCATAGTCAAGCAAGAGATGAATTATTTCGATGTTGCTTTGCTCTATGGCTAACATTAACGGCGTTTGTCTGTGTTTATTTTTAATATTTAAATTGGAGTTGTATTTTACAAGCAAACGTTTTAGAGTAAAACCTTGATAATACGTTACTGCGTTTAGCAAAGGCGTGTCTCCGTGTTCATCTAACACATTGGGATCCGCCCCTCCTTGTAATAATATCTCCACGATATTTGTATTGTGTAAACCGATTTGTAAAGCGGTTCTGTTATTACCATCTGTCATATTTACATCAGCGCCAGCTTGAGTTAACAATTTTACTAAAGAAACACTACCTCTGTCGGCTGCAATGTGCAAAGCAGTCTGCATTCTCCTATTTACAACATCGACAAACTCAAATCCAATTTTTCTAGGGATATCCCGTTCTTCTTTTATCTTTACTATATCAATTTTTGTTTTAACAATCAATGCCGCGATATCTTTTCTCTTTTTTCTTAATGCGAGGTGCAGGATGGAGCCATCATTGAAATAAACTGTATCTAACGCGGCCCCGGCTTTCACGAGAAGCTGCACGGCTTCACAGCTCCCAAGTATCACGGCTTCACACAGAGCGCTGACACGTCTGCTGTTTAGACAATCGACGTCTGCTCCGTGCTGCACCAAATGACGTAGCAGGCCAATATTACCAGCTTTAACCGCCATCATCAACGCCGTCTCCCCCCGGGCGTTGAAAGCGTCCAGCCCCGCCCCGTTACCCACAAGAAGTTCCCACATGTTTGTGTCGTTCTTCTCAATGGAAATAAAAAGGGCGTTCACCCCATTTACTGTAACATCTACATCTGCTTTGTGTTGTAGAAACAATTTCATCAGCTTAACATTTCCTGTTTCCGCCACACCGATTGGATTTGGAAGAAATTTCCCTCCGTATAAGTTAACATCGGCCCCTTTTCTTAACAAGTTCTTTATCATATCTGTGTCGTTTCTACTCAAAGCAATAATCAATGGCGTCTCTCCTACTTCGTTGGCTATATTGACGTCAGCGTTGCCTTCAATCAAAACATTGGCCAAATCCAGATGATTTTTTTCTAGAGATCTGAAAAGCAAGGACCTCCCACGAATATCTTTTATGTTAGGATCGGCGCCTTTTTGAAGAAGTAAACTAATTAATTTCACATTTTTGCCATCGTCGTTTTCTACGTCGTCTAAATCTAAAGAGGTTACATTTAAACAAGCTTGCGACAAGGCCGTCCGACCATAAAAATCCTTGCTGTCCAAGTAGACCCCAGCATGAATTAAACACTCGGCAATGTCCGTGTGCTGGGAATTGATGGCACGCTGCAGGACTGTCTGACCAAACTTGTCCAGTTTATCTAAATCCGCCCCACATTTGACCAGAGCCTGCACCGTTTCAAGATCTCCTACCTCAACCGCGAGATACAACGCCGAACTTTCCAGTCCTTCATGTCGTCGGAATTCATTCTCCAGGTACACAATATCTTCTAAAAACCCATTCTCTCGCGCGATATTTAAAATAGTTCCAGATTTCATACAATCCACGCGCGCTCCTAGATCGACTAAAGTCTTAACAACATCGACGTGTTCCTTCGCGCCTGCCAAAGACAAGGCGGTAAATTTACCGTCTGGGTCTTTACTTATTTCTAAATCCGCGCCGTGTCGTGTTAACATTGTGACGGCCGTGGGGTTTTGTTCTCTGACGGCGATCATCAGCGGCGTCTCCCCAGCGCTGTTTTGTTCGTTGATGCGGCTCTTGTCTATGGCGTTCAGTGTGTTGTTACAAGCTGCAGTGTAGATGGACGCTACGTAAGTAGCCACCGCTTCCGGGTTTTCAATAACTATTTCGAGGTCGCTTGAATAATTACTGTCCTGTTCATCAGATTGATATGGGGAATTGGAAAGTATAATATTGGATGAAGAGTTGTCTTGCATCCTGTCATCTAAAGAATAATCTTGCACAGCATCATCTGAAGAGTAATCTAGGCTAGTACCATCTGAAGAGCAATCTAGGCTAGTATCTTCTGCAGGGCAACCTAGGCTAGTATCTTCAGTATAGCACTCTAGACTAGTATCTTCTGAAGAGCAAACTAGACTAGTATCTTCTGAAGAGCAACCTAGGCTAAAATCTTTTGAAGGGCAACCTAGGTTAGTATCATCTGAAGAGCAATCTAGCAAGGCATTATCTGAAGAATATTTTTGAATAGGGTCTTCTGTAAACGTCGTTAGCATTGTAAACCTTTGAGATAGTGTTAGCTTGGTTTCATTTAAAGAAACCTGTTGAGTCATATTTGTGGGGGGGGGGGGGGGGTTTGTTCACTATCTTCAGATGAATACTCCAAAATAATATAATTTTCTGTATCAGCTTTGAAGCACGGCGTGTTGGAAATTTGTATTTTAAAGTTCATAAACTTGGGATCGCTGGTCTGATCTTCTGATTGGATGGGAGAAATGTGACGTTGAACATCACGTGATGCGGGGTTTAATTCCATTGTCTGTTACTCCCTGTGATCAGATTGAATACTTATGTAAAGACGGTATTGGCGAGATGTTAAGATAGAATAAGTGTTTGAATAACACAAGACTAAAGTGGTAGGACAAAATACATATTTGAATCAGAACAAAACTAAGACACTATCACACACGACCAAAGTGGTACGACAAAATACATATATGAAACGTTTAAACTGACGGTCAATTAAAACCAAAGAGAGACTTAATTGCATAACAATGAGAAATATCAACAGTTTAACTGCAAATAAGTGCCCATCACAAAAGAGGTCACAATTTTTTGTCGCTTTCAAATCCCCCCCCCCTCCAAAAAAACATACACAATTTCCACCAGTTGTTATCACATACTGTAAAAACCTTATCGAGACATCTATACCTTTCTACAATGAGTTAGCTGACGCACCCCCACTCCACCCTTTTACTTATAAACTGTAACATTATTGAACTACCTCTAGTAACAAAACTAGATGTTAGACTGTTTTAATTAACCTCCCCCTCCCACTTCCCCCCTCCCCCCCCCCCCCCCCCCCGTCACATAAGTCGGACCCCAACCCCTGAAGGCTGTGTCGTCATTTATGGGCCATCTCTTTTGGGACAAGCATAAATATCAAGCTTGTTTAAACTATTGTAGTCTCCTCCACACCCCCCCCCCTCCCACATAGGTCTCACTTCCCTCCCCACACACATGTTATCGCCCTACCACCAACCTCATTAATAAAATTTGTTTCAGTTTGATAAACAGTGTCTGTCTTCTCGAAAATATTTACTTACACAAAGTTCATTGATCAAGTTTTATTTCAATTTACCGAATTTAATTTTTTTTAATTGAACTAATAGATACAAATTCAGTTTTTTTAACTTACCATTCGTCACAAAAATCTGAAAATCCCAACCCCTATATGTAAACGACGTCATTTTTGGACCACGACCCATCCACCCCCCCCCCCCCGTCCCCCGTCCCCCGTCCCCCGTCCTCCGTCACCCCGTCCCATTCAATGTTTATAAGGCTTCGGTTTATAACTAGAAGTACGTGTCAACTTGAAAAGTAAACGCTGACAGAATTTCAATGAAATTAAAAGAACATAGGACTGACAGCAATGACAAAGACAAATAGGAATACAATAACAGGATAGTAAACAGGTCAACGTTAAACTGAAAGTTTAGTTAGACACACTCGAAAAATAATTAACCTAATTATCATAATGGTAAATGTGTTTAACTAAGTCTGTATAAAAAGTCTTACCTATTTCAAATATACTATGCTGTGTAGCTTTAAAACTTCTTAACTTGCTCTATACAGTTCTACACACCATAGTTATTGAATAGATTCCACAACTGGCACAGTTATTCAATAATTTATTAAACTCTCTGACTACGTGTATCTATTATAGGCACAGGCTTCCTGGAACTAGCTTTTGTTTTAGTTTCTAAAAATAGACTGTTGTTATTTAAGTGTTTAAAGCGAAACTGAAACTGATTAGTAAATTAAACGGGCTCATTTAAAGGTTGGCGTATTTGATTGAAATATTTGGCAGCTGTCTTCGGTTTTTCTATAGCTGGTCAGTTCATTATCTGTTTATCTAAGTTAGGGTTAGCACGAATTTTTTCAAGAATGTATTCGGGAGAAGAGTGGACCCAGAAAGAAATAGAATTTATATATATATATATATATATATATATATATATATATATATATATATATATATATATATATATATATATACATGCATTGACCGGCTCTCTTGGCTAAAGCCCCAAGAACTTAGCACTAAGATCGTATTTTGTACATTGGTCGGGCAATGCGCGCACTGGCCGGGACGTACTGGCCAAAGTCCGAAGCGCTTAAACTTGACAGCGTATTTTGTACATTGGCCGGCCAATGCGCACACTGGCCGGGATGTCCTGGCCAATGTTCTATCTAGACTAAGTTTTAATCGCGTTTTCATTATTCTGGGTGCGTCAGACCATGAAACAGACTTAGCACTTCAAATCTACCCAGAGAGGCTCTTGATAGAATAGTTACTGAGGAAGATCTTGAGAACATTGAACAAGAAATGGAGGTTGTCATAAATGCAACGACTTCCTCAACTGACACATCTGCTGCCGTGGCGGAACGTCCTGACCAGTTGCGTGACAATAATGTGGCCAACAGATTCTGTGTATAGTTTGTGAAAAATAGTGTAGTGCGCCTCATTCTTATGGATCCCGTGGCAACGATGTACATGCTATTTGCGAATAGCAATGAAGCAGACGAAGGGTACGGAGGAAATATTACCTGCGGATTATGTCACAACAAAAAGACATCATGGAACACAGGTCAGCAGCTCATACTAGCTTGCAAACTCAAGGTGCTAAGATGCTTAAAATATCAAATACAAAATTAAATTCTAAGGAAATAATAATAACGAGCGGACCCACTGCGTATCATACGCCGCTATTTAGTTGTTTTTTTTTTTCTACTTTTCAGTAATTTATAATTTGTGAATTCGACAGTACAAATGCTGCCACTGAAAATATTTGCTTAAAAACAGTAAACCCCCCAATCCCCCCCCCCACCCCCCCCCCCCCCCCACGTGAAAGCAGCCTCCTCTTAGTTACCTCCTCTAAGCTTACAATCGTTTCAAACTAAATTATCTGCCCCTAATAGCCGTCACCAAACCCGTAAAATGTAAACAGCGTGACCACAGCTCACCAGACAATGTGGGGATGGGATGGGGGTGGTAGTGATAGTGATAGAGAGAAAGAGAGGGGACTGCAAGGAGGCGCTTGCAGCTTGTTTTCTAACGGCTCCCAGAAGAGAATTATATATATAGATGATTAAGAATTTTAACTGAACTAATAGAGGAAGCATCATTTTAAGCCTCCACTTTACAAATAGATAAGCAGTGTTTATTTCCATGAAAAATAAAACATTGGCAAAAATAAGCGTGTTGCTTATTTCGTGTCACAAAATTGAAATAGAAAGTGTTGAAAATAACTACGACACTGGTAAAGGGCTTCAAGGGGCGTGTAACTCCATTATAATGGTGCCTTAAAAATCGATTGCTCGATAGGTGTGTTACAGGTTAGGAGTCGTCCATAAACGACGTCACGCTCTATTGATCGGGGAGGGGGGGAGTGAGGTTGAACTTCTATGTGTCGTACGGGGTTTGGGAGAGTTCACAATATGTAAGAACACATTTTTGCAATTTATATGTAATCTTAGAAACTGAGTTTCATCCGTTATATTTCATTTCAAAAGACATGTATTGGAAATTGTAATAATAATTGATCAGCCAATATGTTAAATAGAAATCGCTCTTTAAGAACATAAAGAAGAATGTTGAGGGTTTGGTAAGTGGAGACGACATTATCGAGGTTGGGGTCTGGACGTGTTAAGGAGTCTTATATGGATGACTCGTTACGTATAATATTGGGAAACAGTTAAGCTTATTCTTGGGGTTAGTGTTAGATCCTTTAGGCCTTATGCATGCATACATAAATAAAAATATGCATATTGTATATATATATATATATATATATATATATTATATATATATATATATATATATATATCTATATATATATATATATATTTGTGTGTGTGAATAAAATTTACAACATATACATTTATGGGACTTTATTCTATCCACTTCCCATCTTGCCTAGGACTGAGCTGGGTGATCTGTATACAGTGACCATTTTCCCATTGTTTTTTTGTTTCTAGCCATGGGTTAATGTAAATTTTTTGGCTTCATATTTCAAGATGGGGCACGGGGCAACAGCTAAGTAAGCCATCAAAAGAAACAGGGTTGCATCCCCTAATGATTGTTTTCATTAAGTTTTTATGCCCTTTTAAATTTCTTCATTCCATTACTAAATGTACACTTTATCATAATTTCTTTGAAACTATATAAAACTACAAAATAATATTTAAAAAAAAATTTAAAACCATAACATATAAACCTATGGGACTTACTAAACTTATAAAGCATGTTAACCAATGTGAATGAATTAAACTTTTTAATATGTAAACCAATGGGAATTAATTCAACATTCAATCAAGCTATTAACTGCAGTAGTGCTGTATCAAGTTATGTTTGGCTTCATATTTCAAGATGGGCATGGGGCAACAGCTAAGTAAGCCATCAAAAGAAACAGAGTTGCATCCCATAATGATTGTTTTCATTTGGTTTTTATGCCCTTATACATTTCTTCATTCCATTACTAAATGTACACTATATCATAATTTTTTTGAAACTATATAAAACTACACAAAAAATATTTTTTTTTGAAATTTAAAAACATAACATACAAACATATGGGATTTAAAATTATAAACTTATATTAAACTTATATAGTGTATAAACCAATGGGAATCAATTAAACTTTTAGACAAATAAGCTAATGGTTATTAACATTCAATCAAGGTATTAACTACAGTAGTGCTGTATTAAGCTGCTTTGACATTTCTATTTTTCTTAGAACAGGAAAGTAATAGAATTTTTGAAATAAAAATAAACACATCCAAAGTGAAAGGTTATTTATTAAATTTATTTATTTAATTTGTATGATCACAGTGTAATTGTTTTTTAAAGTTAAGCTTGATAATCATGGAGAATAAATCTAAACACAATCCAGATATTTTAGGTAAAAACAATATTCTGATTGTAAAATCAGCAAAAACATCAACATGGTTATTGAAAAAGTTATTTTCAAAACAGTTTAGGGTTTTAAGAAAAATGTTAATTAACATTAAAAATGTGTCAATTTTAATGTTTTACATAAAACAAGCAATTTGATAGGAGAATTTTAAATACGTCAATTGTATTTTAAAAAATTATTTTCAGCAATTTTTTATAAAAATCATAGTAAAGTTTATGTAGTTTTGAAATCATCAATTTAAAAATAAAAGACAATGGCAGCATTTCTCTGAAAGCAAATTTCTAAGGTAAAGTTATGAGAAAAGAATTGAGTTATTTAAGAAAAAGAATTGAGTTATTAAAGAAAAAGAAAAAAACTTCATTTTCAGAATTTTTGAAAACAAGAAGGACTATTCCAATGGTAAACTGACAAAAAAAATGGAAATTGTAGAGACAATTACAATTTTTTTTAAAATAGATTCATTAATTCATCAATTAATATAAATAAATTAACAAAACTGTTTTTAAAATAAAAGCATAGCCCCTTTTTTAACACAAATATTGAAGCTGTGTTTACTACATTATTTTAAGACATATAATTATATATCAATGTCTTACAGCAGGGGTCTCCAAACTACGGCTCGCAAGATCCTCTTTTTAGGCCCGCGGAGATCTTTTTGTCCACGGAAAAAAAATATCTGTTGGAGGTAGCTGAGGAACTTTGCCCAAAACAATTTAAAAATGTAGCTTTGGGTGCAAATACCTTTGCCCCCCCCCCCCCCCCCCCCCCCCCCCCGATTGCAGACATTGGTGAAAACATTGTGACTCAAATAGCGAAAAATACAACCACTTTTCACCATTTTTTTTAAAGTTGCAATGGATGAGTCGCTGGACAGCTGTTCCACCTCTCAACTGTTTGTGTTCATTATGGGTGTGGATGAAAACATGAACATAACACAAGAGCTGGCTTCCCTACATAATATGTATGGCGCTGTTACAGGAGAGGATATATTCAATGAGTTAAAGAAAACATTTGCTGATTATAACTTAGACTGGACTAACCTCAGTTACCTGACTGTTGATGTGGAAAAGTATATTAGTGGCATAGAGAAAGGCTTGGTTGGACAAGCGAATGAGAAAAATATTCTACAACCAATGCTCCTGCACTCTATTATTATTCATCAGCAAGCTTTGAGCGCTAAATATATGGACATTAGCAGTGTACTGAATCCTGTGGTAAAGATGGCGAATTTTATAAGGTCTCATGGGCTCAACCATAGATATAGAATAAGTGAAGAATAATTTGAAAGCAAACTTGGGCCTCGAGTGTGTTGTCGGCCCCCGACAATCAGTATATAATTACTATACATATACAGTTTGAATCGTGTGATTAATTTTTAAAATTACAATACAGAAACAAATACAACTGATGAGGCACCTCTATTTAAATTTACTGCGTAGTGGTGGGGAAATTTTGACAAGGTCATCACGATGAAATAGTAGTATTCTTACAGTTTGGGCGATAGTGATTACGATTACAAATTATATGAAACAGTTACAACCCCCCTACTCCATGGACCCCTCTGTAAAAAAAATATTGTCATAATACCACTGCTACTTATTTAAATCTATTTCTGTAATATATATTTGTGTAATATATATTTGTGTAATATATATGTATGTTTAGAACAGTCATCTAAAAACTGACGCTATGTTCACTCTGAGCTGGTTATCTCCCCCCCCCCCCCCCCACACACACACCACCTCACCACCACAATTGTGTAGAGCAACATTAATATCACACCTAGGTAAACACTGGGTTGGATAATTGACCTAAAGTGACCGGACAGAGGTGAATGAAGTTGAACCCCCCTCCCCCCCCAACCCACCCCGAACTGATCTGTTAAGTACATGTAGAAAAAACGCGTAATGATGTACCAAAGTACCATGCCGCCAGAAAATTAGCTTTTTAAACGTAAAACTCTGTGAAAATTGTTTTTGCAATTACTAGTAAAAAGGTGTGTGATCAATGCAGTGATCTAACCCATACCTATAACTATGTTAAAAATGATCTTTAAAGACTATAAAGAAGCAGTAGTTAATTAAAAATATATGATCTGACCTAAAAGACCAGTAGTTAGTTAAATGTAGGCTGTTATTCTGGATGTTGTTCTATTATATCGAAAAGCGTGGTTTTATACCGACTATGATTTTAAAAACTTTCATTATGCTGTAATACTTTAGCAATTATGATGACGATATATTAAATTCAGATTATAGACAAAAACATGTTGTAAACAGGAATAATGTTAAACTATTTCATTATATTCTAAAGTAATTATTTATTTGTTTTGACATTTATAATTAAATGTGTAGATACATACATATTTATATATTTATATTAAGAGAGTGATTATTTCCCCTATTTCACTTGTCTTAAATTATTTCCCAGGAATTATTTTGTAAAAATTTTTTTACAAGAATTACAAAACAGGTTGTGTTGCGTTCATTGTTTTTGGTTGTAGTGTGTGTATATTTTTTGTTTAGATTGATACAATTTTTGTTTTGTCGGCCTACATTGTGTGTTTTTTCTTATTTCTTCATAGTGCTACTTTCAATTTCTTTTACATCATAGCGAAGTAATGACATACAGCTAGTAATTATAATATATATATATATTTATATATATATATATATATATATATATATATATATATATATATATATATATATATATATATATAATACACGTATAGAGAACGTGTTACAAAATTCGGCGCCTTTTTTTGCTCTTTTCGCCCCCCCCCCCCCCCCTACAACGAAAACCTGGATACGCCTCTGCCGACAATGTTTCTTTCAGATTTTTTTCCCTTGGGGGGGCACTTGAAATTTATATATATTTCTATATAAATTATATTTTGTTGGGACGGGGGGGGGGCGGGGCTGTGTAGGTTTTTTTTTTGGGGGGGGGGGGGGGGGCTCCATAACACCGTAGATTTGCCTTGAAGAAACTCTGGCCCCAGAACTGATATTTGATAGTCGATGCGGCCCTCGGTCTGAAAAATTTGGAGACCCCTGTCTTACAGGAATAATGGCCAATTAAAATTTTAGATTAGTAAAGAATTAAAAAATAAGAAAAAATAAAAATGATGGGTTACATGACCAATGTTTGACCCATTCTTCACATAGACTGCAACCTGTATCTTTGAGAATTGCACAAAGATTGTAGAATGAATACATGTTACTCTTGAACATGTTTGTAATGAACAGTATTTGTTAGTGATGTGCGATCTGATCTAGTGAAACAAAAACAATTACTTGTCAAAATAAATTACTTATGGCACATTTGGTGCATATATTTCAAGCTAAAGCTGTTAATGAATTGTATATAAAACAAAAATAAAACTATGAAATAGACTTCTGAATAAAATTATAAAGTTAAATTATGTCTAACATAAACAAATAAGTACAACTAACCAAATTATATTTTAAATAAAAATTTAATATAATAATTTATTTAATATATAATTTATTTTATTTAGAATTATAAATGTTTTTTGTTTGTTTTTTTAAACTGCCCTAACCAACAATCATCATGAAATGACCATCCCTAACGTACTTTAGACCCGAGCATATGAGGCTCGATAGATGGGGAAAGCAACCCATCTAGAATAGAAACTCCAAAATCAAACAACTGTTGATTTATGTTTGCTCTTTGGTAGAAAAAAAAAGCTATGGAAGCGAGTCCAGAAAGAAAAGCTGGTTAAAATCAGAATCAAAGCGCCACGTGACGCATAACATGTTGATACGTGATACTTGATTGTGTTGGAGGAAATCTCATCCAACATATCAAATAAGTATTTTAAAAAATTAAAAAAAGATTAACATTAGATATATTAATTATCAACAGATAACAAGAACACTTCTAATAACTTTTAGATAAATGTCATTTCCAAATTTCAACATCGTATTATAGAAAACCCCAACCTCCAGCATCACATCGAAGCCAGCTCAAACTACAGCCTTAAAAAACAACCGTACGGCCAGAATCTCAACAAAGGTCGCGGATTCTCCAATTTTTCATATTCCTCCACATCAAAACACACGGGGATCTTGGACCATTTTTTCCTTGCTAGCCTGGCTATGGGGGTTCTAAACATCAGGGCGTCCTGCAGGTCAAAGGGCAGTTCTAGACTTTGGATCCGCTGCGTTCTGTTAGCACCGGAACCAAGGCGAGTGGACACGGCGATGAAGGCCAGTTTGACCAACGGCCACGGGTTGCAAGCTGCAAGTTTAATTGTTGGGATATTGACACGGGGATGTTTGCTAACAGCCCGCATTAAGGAAAGATCATTGTTCATTAGGTAACAGTTTGAAATCAGGTACTTTATAGCGTCTACTCTAAGATTCGTCATGGCCAGACAAAACAGGGTTTCGTGATTTTGAGGTTTGTACATGTAGCCGTTACTCACGCACAACCGCATGTGTTCAAATCTGTTGAAGTCGGAGATTTTGTCATTGAAAGCTAAAATACCACACCGAGAAAACAAGCTCTCAAATATCCGCTGGTCAATGTTTAAACAAGGATTGATTTTAAGATTTAACAGAATTTCAGCGTTGAATTTACTTCCATTGACATTATTTAAGCTATAGCTTGACAATATTCCGTGAATATTCTTAAAGGCATAATACAAAGCCGTCCTGTTCTTGTTGTCCTCTATGTTTATGTTGATACTCTCCGCGGTGTGTAACTGTGAACTAGTGTGAAACTTTTTGTACTTAGCCGTGTACATCAAAGCCGTTTTACCTTTCTTGTCTTGTATGTTTACGTTAGCGCCAGCCGCCAACAAGAGCTCTTCAATCCTAGAAAAACTTGGGAAATCTGTTTCAGCGTTGTGGATTAGGGCAGTTTTTCTTTCGTTGTCCTGTAAGTTAACATTAGCTCCCCTTTTTATCAGCAAGTCAACGGTTTCTATTCTTGAAAGTTTCACCATTTGTATAAGATAAGTTTCTCCATTGTTGTCTTGTATGTTCACATTGGCACCAGCCGTCAACAAGAGCTCCTCTATTCTATCAAACCTCGGGTGGTGTGTGACAGTATTATGCATAAGGGCAGTTTTTCCTCCGTTATCCTGTGCGTTAACATCAGCTCCAGATTTTATCAGCAGATCAACCATTTCTAGTTCTAAACGTTTCACTGACTGAATAAGATATGTTTCTCCCATTGAGTTCCTGGCACTGATGTCCGCCCCGGCGCGAATCAAAGACCCCAGGCTGATCACTGATCGCTTCAAAAAGGCTTGCTGTACTGAAGCCAATCCTAAATATGTTTTATGTACAACCTTCGCGTCATGGTCAAGCAAGAGATTAATTATCTCGATGTTGCCTTTCTCTATAGCTAACATCAACAGCGTTTGGCCGTGTTTATTTTTTATATTTACATTGGAATTATATTGGACCAGTAAACGTACTAGAGGAAAACCTTGAGCACAGGTTACTGCGTGTAGCAAAGGCGTTTCCCCGTGTTCATCTAAAACATTGGGATCCGCTCCTGCTTCTAGCAATATCTCCACCATATCTTTATTGTCAATATTGTGTAAACCGATTTGTAAAGCGGTTTTGTTATTATCATCTGTCATATTTACATCAGCGCCAGCGTCTGTTAACAAATTTACTAAATAACTACTACCTATACTGGCTGCAATGTGTAAAGCAGTCTGCATTCTCCTATTGACAACATTGATAAAGTCGAATTCGTCTGTGTCACTTGTTCTAGACATATCGATTTCTTCTCTTGTATTTACCAGATTTAGTTTTGTTCTAACAATCAATTCCGCGATATCCTTTTTCTTTTTTCTTAAAGCATGATGTAGGATGGAGCCATCATTGAAATAAACTGTATCCAACGCGGCCCCGGCTTCTACGAGAAGCTGCACAGCTTCACAGCTCCCGAGTATCACGGCTTCATACAGAGCGCTGACACGTCTGCTGTTTAGACAATCGACGTCTGCTCCGTGCTGCACCAAATGACGTAGCAGGTCAATATTGCCAGCTTTAACCGCCATCATCAACGCCGTCTCCCCCCGGGTGTTTACAGCTTCGAGCCCCGCCCCGTTACCCACAAGAAGTTCCCACATGTTTGTGTCGTTCTTCTCAATGGAAATAAAAAGGGCGTTAACCCTATTTACTTTAACATCTACATCTGCTTTGTGTTGTAGAAACAATTTCATCATCTCAACATTTCCTGTTTCCGCCACACGGATTGGATTTGGAAGAAATTTCCCTCCGTATAAGTTAACATCGGCCCCTTTTCTCAACAAATTTTTTATCATATCTGTGTCGTTTCTATTAACAGCAATATTCAATGGCGTCTCTCCTAATTCGTTGGCTATATTGACTTCAGCGTTGCCTTCAATCAAAACATTGGCCAGATCAAGATGATTTTCTTCTAGAGATCTGAAAAGCAAGGACCTCCCACGAGTATCTTTTATGTTTGGATCGGCACCCTTTTCAAGAAGTAAACTAATTAATTTCTTCTTTTTGTCTAAATTGAAAGCGGAAACGTTTAAACACGCTTGCGACAAGGCCGTCCGTCCATAAAAGTCCTTGCTATCCAAGTAGACCCCAGCATGAATTAAACACTCGGCAATGTCCGTGTGCTTGGAATTAATGGCACGCTGCAGGACTGTCTGGCCAAACTTGTCCAGTTTATCTAAATCCGCCCCACATTTGACCAGAGCCTGCACCGTTTCAAGATCTCCTCCCTCAACCGCGAGATACAACGCCGAACTTTCCAGTCCTTCATGACGCCGGAATTCATTCTCCAGGTACACAATATCTTCTAAAAACCCATTCTCTCGTGCCATATTTAAAATAGTACCAGATTCGATACAATCCACGCGCGCTCCTAGACCGACTAAAGTCTTAACAACATCGACGTGTTCCTTCGCGCCTGCCAAAGACAAGGCGGTAAATTTACCGTCTGGGTCTTTACTTATTTCTAAATCCGCGCCGTGTCGTGTTAACATCGTGACGGCCGTGGGGTTTTGTTCTCTGACGGCGATCATCAGCGGCGTCTCCCCAGCGCTGTTTTGTTCGTTGATGCGGCTCTTGTCTATGGCGTCCAGGGTGTTGTTACAAGCTGCAGTGTAGACGGACGTCACGTAGGTAGCTACCGCATCCGGGTTTATAACAACTATTTTGAGGTGGCTTAAATAATTTCTGTCCTGATCAGCAGATTGATATGGGGAATCGGAAAGTATAATATTGGGTGAAGAGTTGTCTTGCATCCTGTCATCTAAAGCATTATCTTGCATGGTATCATCTGAAGAGCTATCTAGGCTAGTATCATCTGAAGAGCTATCTAGGCTACTATCTTCTAAAGGGCAACCTAGGCTAGTATCCTTTGTAGAGCACTTTAGGCTAGTATCTTCTGAAGAGCAACCTTGGCTAAAGTCTTTTGAAGGGCAACCTAGGTTAATATTATCTGAAGAGCAATCTAGCACTGCATTATCTGATGAATATTTTTGAATAGGATCTTTTGTAAATGTCGTTACCATAGTAAACCTTTGAGATAGAGTAAGCTTAGTTTTATTTGTGGGGGATTTTTGTTCCCTAACCTCAGACGAATACTCTAGTATAATATCTTTTTCTGTATCAGCTATTTTAAAGTTCATAAACTTGGGATCGCTGGTCTGATCTTCTGATTGGATGAGAGAAATGTGACGTGGAGCATCACGTGATGCGGGGTTTAATGCCATAGTCTTTAACTCCCTGTAATCAGATTGAATACTTATGTAAAGACGTTGTTAGCGAGATGGTCAAACAGAATAAATGTTTTAATCACACATGACCAAAGTAGGAGGACAAAATACATATTTGAATTACACACGATTAAAGTAAAAAATAGGAAAAAATACATGTTTGAATCAGGACAAAACTGAGACACTATCACACACGACCAAAGCGGTAGGACAAAATACATGTTTGAATCAGGACAAAACTGAGACACTATCACACACGAAAAAATTATATAAACTAACTGTCAGTTAAAACCAAAGTGGGACTTTATTGCATAACAATGAGAAATAACTGCGACTAAATTCTTTCACAGAAGAGGTCACATTTTTTGTTGCTTTCATATCCCCTCCCCCCCCCCCCCCCCCCCCCACAAACATAAGTCGAACCCCAACCCCTAAAGGCTGTGTCGTCATTTATGGGCCATCACCTTTGAGGCAAGCATAAATATCAAGCTTGTTTAAACTATTCTAGTCTCTTCACCCCCCCCCCCCATCACATTGGCCTCACCCCCATCCCCACACGCACACACAATTAAATGTCACCCTACCACCCGCCTCAGTATTACAATTTGATTTCGTTTTCTAAACAGTATCTTCTCTAAAATATTTACTTACACAAAGTTCATTGATCAAGTTTTATTTCAATTTACCAAAATTAATCTTTTTTTTTTTTAAATTAAAGTAATGGATACGAATTCCCATTTTTGAACTTACCCTTCGTCACAAAAATCTGAAAATCCCAACCCCTATATGAGAACGACGTCATTTATGGACCTCGACACCCCCCCCCCCCTTCCCACATTCAATGCTTATAAAGCTTCTGTTTATAACTAGCAGTACGTGTCAGCTTGAAAAGTTAAACGCTGATATATTTTCAAAGAGATTAAAGGGACATAGTACTGACAGCAGGGACAAAGACAAATAGGAATAGGCCTACAATAACATGATATTAAACAGGCTAACGTTAAACTGAAAGTTTAGTTAGACACACTCGAAAAATAATTAACCTAATTATCATAATGGAAAATGTGTTTAACTAAGTCTGTATAAAAAGTCTTACCTATTTCAAATATACCATGCTGTGTAGCTTTAAAACTTCTTAACGTGCTCTATGCAGTTCTACACAGTACCGTTATTGAATAGATTCCACAACTGGCACAGTTATTCAATAGTTTATTGAACTCTCTGACTACGTGTATCTATTTATAGGCGCATGTTTCCCGGAACTCACTCTTGTTCTTAGTTTCCAAAAAAAGAATTGTTAAATGTTTTTTAAGCGAAACTTGAAACAGGTTAGTGATTAAATCGTTTATCACACCATAGATTAACTTAATGGAAGAAGTATCACTTGAAGCATCAACTTTACAATAATACAAGCAGTATTTATTTCCTCGAGAAAAAAAACTTTGTCGAGAATAAGCGTGTTGCTTCTTTCGTCTTCGACACTACCTTGAAATAGAAAGTGTTCAAATTAAGTACGTCACTGGTAAAGGGCTTCAAGGGGCGTGTACTCCATTATAATGCTGCCTTAAAAATCGATCGTCTGGTAGATGTGTTACAGGGGTTAGGCGTCGTCCATAAACGACATCACGCTCTATTGATCGGGGAGGGGGGGTGAGGTTGATCTTTTGTGACTATGTGTGGTACGGGGGTGGGGTGGGGGAGAGTTAACAATATGTAACGACACATTTTTGCATTCTATATGTAATCTTAAAAACTGAGTTTCATCCATTATATTTCATTTCAAAAGACATGTATTGAAAATAGTAATAATAATTGATCAGCCAATATGTTATAAAGAAATCGCTGTTTAAAAATATAAAGAAGAATTTTGAGGGGTTTGGTAAGCGGTGACATTTTCCAGCTTGGGGTCTCCACAACCACCCCCACCCATATGAATATTATTCCATGGAGCCAATACTTCCCTAGAAAATTAACCCCCCCCCCCTCACACACCTTTTCTGACCATCAATAAACTTGAACATAACACTAACCCCAACCCAAACTCTATATCTATCCCTAACCACCCCATTGTATTTTAATAAACAATACTCTCCCTCAAGCTAGATACACATCAATGACAGCTGTCAGCCAATTCAGGGCATTCGTTTACTGAAAATCAAGGGGAATTTTCCCTGAATTCCACAGTAACCATTTAAAACAAAGAAAGTAGCCCCCCTTGACAAGTTTTCAACACACAAAAAAGTTAATTCTAAAATTGCCCTCCAACTCCTCTATATTGTTCTTTTCTTCTGAATGAAAACCCCACCTGGTTCAACATAGGTGTGTGACAATGTTGCTGAAGATGTATTTAAATTTGTAAACCTATGTGAATAAAATGTATAACATATACATTTATGGGACCTTATTCTATCCACTTCCCATCTTGCCCAGGACTGAGCTGGGTGATCTGTATACAGTGACCGTTTTCACACTGTTTTTTTTTTCTAGCCATGGGTTGATTAAAATTTTTGGCTTCATATTTTAAGATGGGGCATGGGGCAACAGCTAAGTAAGCCATCAAAAGAAACTGAGTTGCATCCCCTAATGATTGTTTTAATTTAGTTTTTATACCCTTTTAAATTTCTTCATTCCATTACTAAATGGACACTATATCATAATTATTTGAAACTATATAAAACTACAAAAAAAAATATTTTTTAAATTTAAAAACATAACATATTATAAACGTATGATATTTATTTAACTTATAAAGCATAGTAACCAATGGGAAATAATTAAACTTTTAGACATGTAAGCTAATGGTAATTAATTCAACATTCAATCAAGGTATTAACTTTAACTGCAGTAGTGCTGTAATTTTTTTAAGTTACCTTAGACATTTCTGTTTTGCTTAGAACAGGAAAGTAATTGATATTTTAAAAATAAAAACACATCCAAGGTCAAAGGTTATTTATTAAATTTATTTAATAAGAGCAACTTGTATGATCACAGTGTAAATGTTTTAAAAAATTAGGCTTGATAATCATGGAGAATAAACCTAAACACAATCCATATATTCTAGGTAAAAACAATATTCTGATTGTAAAATAAACACAAAATTAACATGTTTATTGAAAAAGTTATTTTCAAAACAGTTTTGTGTTGTAAGAAAAATGTTAATTAACATTAAAAATGTGTCAATTTTAATGTTTTACATAAAACAAGCAATTTGATGGAAAAATTTTAAATACATCAATTTATTTTTTTAAAAAATTTCCAGCAATTCTTAATAAAAATCAGAGTAAAGTTTATGTGATTTTGAAAACATAAATTTAAAAATAAAAGACAATGGCAGCAATTCTCTGAAAGCAAGTTTCCAAGGTAAAATTATGAGAAAAGAATTTTTTTTTAAACAAAAAGAAAAAAAACACTTCATTTTCAGAATTTTTGAAAACAAAAAGGCCTATTCTAATGGTATACTGACAAATTAAAAGACAAATTAAATAAAAAAAACAATAGATTCATTAATTCATTAATTAATGTAAGTAGATTAATAAAACTGTTTTAAAATAAAAGCATGGCCTCTTTTTTAACACAAATATTAAAGCTGTGTTTACTACATTATTTTAAGACATATAATTATATATCAATGTCTTACAGCAATAATGGTCAATAAAAATTTTAGATTAGTAAAAAATTAAAAAATGAGAAAAATAAAAATGATGGGTTACATGACCCATGTTTGACCCATTCTTCACATGGAGTGCAACCTGCAACTTGGAGAATTGCTCAAAAATTGTAGAATGACTACATGTTACTCTTGAACATGTTTGTAATGAACAGTATTTGTTAGTGATGTGCAAACTGATCTAATGAAACAAAAACAATTACTTGACATAGTCAAAATAAATTACTTTTGGCACAACTGGTGCATATCTTGCAAGATAAAGCTATTAATTATTTGTACATGAAACAAAAATAAAATAATGAAATAGACTTGTGTATACAATAATAATATTAAATCATGTCTAACATAAACAAATTAGTACATCTAACCAAACTATATTTTAGCAGACATCTCAATTTTAAAAATTACATTTTAAAAGTATATATTTCTTTTAAAAAATGAAACCATTTAAAACCTTTGAACTGCTTTAAAGTGCTTATTAAAACGTTTTATAAAAACACAAAAAAAAAAACAGCTCCTTTACGACAAGAAAAAGATGTAAAAATAATATGTATCAAAAACAAAGCTTTGCTGAAGCAGAGAAATAAACAGATAAGATTGGTTTTTTTTATGAATCATTAATGCAACATGTGCATTCTAAAAAGAATGAATAGTAATCATTTTACAGCTCAGAAATGTACCTTTAAATCAGCTTGTATAGCTAACTTTTATAAAAATAAAAAAAAGATCTTGTGGTGATGGGAGGGTGTTGATAAAGAGACATGTTTAGATTTTATTTTTACTGGGACTTGCATTAACACACTTATGTTTTTTTAAGTTGTATTGCCTTGTATACCCTTTGGAACAGACACCACACACAAATGGTTTGAAAGGCATTTCTTTTGATAAGGCTGCACTTTCTTCATCCACTGTTTTCTCTGACGGCTTCTCAGGGTTAGTAATCATTCTCTTTGCCATTCTTCTTGTTGTAACTACATGTTCATCACAAGGAAAAGCTGTTGTTTCAGGAGCATTGGGGTGGTTTTCAGGATCAGCAACCATATTATTTGATGTAGCTTCATGGTTTTCAGGATTAACCGCCACATGTGTATGTGCCTCTATGTGGATTTCAGGATCAGGTGCCACATGT